TGACAGCACCAGCAACACCACCAGAGGTGGCAGCAATACTGCTAGTGGAGAGGGAAGGACCCACGAGAGGAACTCCGCCGATTTGTTGGCAAGCATCGAGAAACCCTCAAGAGACTCCTCACCCATACGCAGGAATCTCTCAGCTGCTGGTCTCATAGACAATAATCTGGCTCCCCCACTACATAACTTCAAGAACAAGAGGAGACCAGGCTCTGTAAGGTCTGTAAGGTCCGCCGCAGCTTCACGAGAAACCTCTCCAATACGTTCAATCTCTGCTGCGGCTGCGGCTGTGTTGAGAAATTCCCAACAGCCGGACCTCCAGCAACCACGTCCGCAACGGCCACTACCGAACACATCCCATTGGCCTAGCACATCGCGTTTAGGTCTGTCAAGATCGCCTCCCCCGGGTTCACAGTCACCTGCCCCGTCACCCCTCAAGAGGAACGAATCCACTATCACCCCAGCTTCTCTCCCACCATCCAGAGCATCGCTGCGAGAGAAAGAAGTTGCGGTGGAGGATACAGAAGATTCTAATCTACCATCCGGCATGAAGACTCCCAGAAGCAACGCCAGTCCCTCATTGGCGACGGTTGTGGAAAGCGTTTTGCCCAACAATCCAAACCAAGGGGCCAGTAAATCGTTGTCAGAACAGGTGGCAGCCCTGGTCGCCCGCCAATCAAACAATACCCACACAATTCATGAAGAAAGCGAATCAGAAGTTTCTGTCGAAACAGTCAAGGGGCGTGGCTCCAGAGCCCCGTCAATAGCTCCATCAATATCCTCATCAATAGCCCACTCGCTGGCAGAATCTGAATCTGAGTCTGGGTACAAGAGTGAGGATAGATCCATCCATGGGACTTCCAGGGCACCACCTCCATCAAAAACGTTTAGTCGGCGCCCGACAGTGATGGGTTCCGATAATTTCTCCGGAAGGATGACGGTGGAGACGGAGACCGTCACCTCTGTTCCTCAAGTTGCTCTTGGTGCCGGGGTGATGCCAGGCGGGGCTAGTATCAGGAGTAAGAAGAGCACTGACACTATCCGACAGCCGAAAAAGAAAGACAAAAAGTTATTGAGAAAGCCAGGGGGAGCAGGAAACAGTAACCGTACGTTATCCCCTGTATTTCCCTACATATGGATAAGATCATCACTAATATTATCTTTGACTACCACAGTGACTAGCAAGGCTGATATCTTTGCTGCAAAAATTGCTGAAGCTGTTGATGAAGCAAACTCCTCCGACTCTGAGGAAACCTTCGTTTATGAATCTAACCCTCCGGAACCACCAACCTCTCATCATCGCCCAAGAGGATTTCACCACTCCCGGACACCGAGTGCCACATCAATACAAGGAGGACCGGACCCCAGAGGACAGAGGTTACCATTGCTATCGTCTATCGATGGCAACCAGAGTACTAGAGGGAAGGGGATGAAATTCGCCAATACTTCCAACAATAGTAGCAACCTAGGGAACGAAGTGCCTGTCGGAGATGGAGTTGGAAATGAAAGAAGCGCTGGGAGTAGCAGCTCAAGGGCCGGTGAAGCAATGATGAGCGTAAAGGACAGGGAGAATGGAAATACTAGGAATCAGAATGGACACAGGGCAATATTAGCCGAGGAATCTCCGTTTCATCATCACCCATCCCGCAAAGGATCACGACACTCTCTTGCTGGACAGCACAATTCATCAAAAACATCATCACACTCTACTAGCCCGCTAAATGGCTCCGCATATCGAAACAGTAACGCCCAAAAGAGAATTCCTCGCGCCATACAATCATATGAGGCGGATGTAGAGGCAGGCTTTGACGAAAGAGCACCGCTTATGTCACCCACTGGACGGTCGGGCCGTCGCCGCGACAGGGATCGTCCTCACAGACCTAACAGTGGATCACTTCTACAACAGGATTATATCCAACAACACCGTACCAGAGGCTGCCTCAGGACATATATCGGATGTATAGTTGCCGTTGCTGCCGTGATTTTGATCATGACTGGCGTCGGGGGATTCCTGTTTGCAACTACAAAGGCACTATTGGAAGTAAGGGTTCTTAACGTGACAGGAGTTCTAGTATCGAAACAAGAAATCATGCTCGATCTGGTTGTTGAAGCTATCAACCCTAACGCGATCCCGGTTACCGTTGGAAATATGGACGTCAACCTGTTTGCGAAGAGTTCTTATGTGGGTGACAGGAAAGGGAAAGATGGAGAGGAACCTGGAGAAGGGGGAGGAGATGGAGATGGAGATGGAGATGGAGATGGGAGCGGTGACGGTGACGGTGACGGTGATGCGGATGATGGTAAGCGGAGTTGGTGGGGAGGCAGAGGGAGGAAGGGCAGGACAGAAGAAATCATCATTTCGCAGAGGGGATACCGCTCCCAGCTCTCGATTAGAGCCCATCCGAACGGTAACGTCGACGAGGGAACAGATCCTCCTGAAGATCTCCCTGAAGGAGGGGACCGGCAAACCATGCTTCTTGGACGGATCTACAGCTTCGACTCGGCACTCACCTTTGAACCTTCCCCACTCCGGCACAAAACAACGATTTCAGTTGGTGAACTGAGGTTAGCTAAGCCCGGAAATAAAACCGAAGAAGGCGGAACAGAGAGATGGGAAAGAGTCTTGCAACACCCCTTTGAATTGATCGTTAGGGGTGTGCTGAGATATCAGCTGCCGTTGAGCGGAAGGGTCAGGACAGCGCCAATCGGGGCTTCCGTGATAGTTCATCCGGACGGGTTGCTGAAGACGAATTTAAAGAACAATAATGAATTTCACGATGACGATAAACGAACGGATAAATAGGTCTGGGGGTGTTCTTCTTTCTTTCATTTTTTATGGCTTGGTCTGCGGGGGTGGTGATTTGAATAAGTGGGTGTTCTTCTGTTTTTGTCTTTTCTCTGGTGCTGGATCGGTTTCATTTGTCTTTTGCTTATAAGTATTTCTATTTCTAAATCTCCTACTTTTCATTGAAAAAATAAACAAGGCGCGAAGGAAGATTGGTTTATTCGTCATAGCATGGGTACATCAGACTATTGAGATGGAAATAATCGACAATGACTGGCGGGGGGAAAGCATGCATATTAACCGTTCGAAGATCGCGACTTTGAGAAAAGAAAGGGGTTTTGTATGTGTATTTTTTGTTCTTAGTTTTTTTTCTTCGTTAGAGGTGATTTGGAGTGTGTTTTTTACTCTTTCTCGTGGCTATATTTTTACGTTTTTCTTCTCCGATGTCGTTGTTCCATGGTTCTTATCATACCCATTTTATCTTACTCTGGTGTTCCATTCAGCTTTGTTTTGTTTCGTATCTGGATTGTTTGTAATCTTGTTGACGGTTCATGTGTACTGATACGAGAAAGGAGTATCCTTTCGCCTCTCTGTTTTAGGTTTTTAGTTTCTCTATTTCATGAGTTTCATAACCCTTCACTTTATTCTTTGCCTCTTACTTACTTACATACTGAGCGCGTACAAGACATAGTGTAATTTGTGAGTGTTTGTTTGTGTGTGTGTGGTGTGTGCTATTGTTCGAGGAGCGAGAAAATAAGTAAATACCGACTCAAATCTAAATTTGTTCTTTTTTGGAGACCTACTACATCTGTCTACATCTTTCAATGCCATAATCCGTACCTCTCTCAGTGGTATTAAGGGAACGGCGTAAACAATTCCTGCAACTATTTCGAGTCCCTTCCGCGCTAGGTTTCAAGAGTAGTACCGGCCGAGCTAACCAAGGACAGGGATAAAATAAAGCCATGGGTTTATCAGTTACACAAACCCAGCCAGTCGGGACATCTCTCACAGAAAGTAAAAAAAAAAAGAGAGAGAGAGAGAGAGAGAGAGAGAAGAAGTCCATGAATCTGAGTACTCTGCCCTAGGCATAGCCAGATGAATGCGGGAATCTCAGCTAGGCAGACTCGTGGTTTGTCTAAGACTTCGAATCATAGGACGTGTGGCCCGCGGGAGAAGAGTAAGAGGTGGTGGTGGTCACTGGTGTGTCAGTTCGATTGACGAAAATCAATCATACTAAACTCTAGTCATCAGTATCGTACCCGCTCACTCATCAGCAAGGGTTGCCTATTGACGATATTGATATTAATTGGAGGATTAGCTAAGACTGCCCTTTCGCGGGGCAGCACTTTAGTAGGCCATGCAGAGTAAGCTCTAGATTCTAATAAGCAGGCGGCATGTTCCGGGTCACGGATTATCACTCGTAGCCTACTGCCTCAAAAAAAAGAAGGCTACATGTAGTTATTCCCGACCGTACGGTCTTTAATCCCCAAACTCTACGTGTTTCTCATCAAGTACCCAAGTACATGAAATATACTTATGATTCAGATGGCGGTATGTTGTGTGTGTGTGTCTACTAGTAGCCCACCTCCCGAAAGTGAATCTTGTGGTCGGGATTAGTGCTACGTGGTACTCCTCCTCTCCCTCTCTGTGCATCAATCTATCCTCCCATTTGCGGACGAATATCCCGAAAACTCGTGATCGGAATCTCATATCGTACCCCTGTTTTATAATAACTCTCGGGGATTATAATGTAGCAACTAACGTGATTACGGTGTATTGTTTCAACAATGCAAATTAAAAACGGTTCTTTTAGACGCCCGGGTATCTATTCTTATCGTACCTCGGTACCGTTTTGGAGATGCATGAGTGTGGTGGGTATGGTTAAGGTTGCTTAATTTATTCCCGCAGAGCCTCCAGAACAACTTATTTACCAAATAGGAAATATGTCAAGCTTGTCATGCATTAAAAAGATTTAAAGATTGTGTAAACGCCCGCTGCTAGAAGAAAATAGCACATGAAAACAAGATACACAGTACAATTGAAAAAAAAAAAAAGCGCAGAGAAATTATAAACCTGGGAGATATCTACTGCTAGGTCCTTGGTTTGGGGATCCAGAGATGTGCATATGTAGAATATAAAGTAAAATCCCAGAAAAAACTATTGAACCCTAGAGTAATAGCTGTAAATACATGATAAGCATCGATCCACAGTTCCGCTATAAGTTGATAGTCGGTACGTGGGCTGCCCCGCCTTGCCGAAGATGAGCACTTGAGTTACGGAACAAACTCTGCCATAGAAACCTGTAGTATGATCAAGGTTAGGTGGGTTTTTAAGTTTAGGCAAGGGAGTTCCGCTCACGCTTCGCTTAAAAGTATCTCCATCTCCTTCTCCCCCCAGCTCTGCGTCGGGAGAGCCTGGAGAAACATCATAGTTTCCTGGAAGTCCATTTTCTGAAGCGGTTCAGACCATTTGACTAAAAACGCTGCGCAAACATAGAGATGGAATTCCGAGAATCCTGCTTGTCCTTCTGCCTATCCTCCCGCATGTTTATTAGTGATACTCTCAATAAAATCGCCGACAGGAGTATCCGCAAATTTACCATATAAGTATCCCACATCCTGATGGTGTTCTTTACGCTAAGCTCCCTCATCAACATACAATTCATCCATCTGAAACTGAATTGAATAAACTCGACTCCTTGCTCAGCAAGGTGCTTTGTCAACGAGTTATCAATTCGCTGCACCAAGTCTCGTAGACCAGCAACTTGCCGCTGGATACCAGGCTGTGTATGTATATAATTGTCCTGAATACCATCCAGGAGCTTGGTCAGGCACCAGAAAGAGTCCGCTTCGATAACGTCTAGGACCTCTTTAGGCAAGGAGTTGGGATTGAACGTCTCCACTTCTCCGTCTGTCTGAATGTTAGAGATAGAGCGACCAAATACTCCAGGGAATGAGTAGTACCAATATAGGCAGAAAGGAAAACCTGGAAAAATGGCGTCACGAGGTCATTTATCCCTTGAACGTAACCACTAGCTGGATGTCGTATCGCCCAAACGTATAATATCCGCTCCAATGACCTCTGGGTTGTCTCGAAGCCATAAAGTGGGATGTGTGGGTTCGTTCTGGGCACATCAATGGATATTTGGTGCCAGATAGTCTGATCTAGACCAGCAGTACCTCTTACAAAAGCCTGCTTGACACCATCTATAAACTCCTTTCTCTTTCGTTCCAAGGTGTTTATCCGTCTATCACTATTTGCAGGCAGATAGCCAAGCAACATTTGCCACGCCATGGGCCGCAATTCATCTGGAATGCCATTCCAGGATATTTCGCGCAATTCATTCAAATCGACAGTTGAAGATTGGAGTATACGCTTAAACTTATTTATACGTTTGATACGAGAGTTAAGTCTCTCAATCTCGGCCTCTGTGTGGGTGTCGGCAGATAAGGTTGGGTGATATATCATATGCAGGGAATTACCAGGGTCTTTGCTTATTCAAATAAAGGATAGAGCCTTTAGCTTATTGTTCTAGGAATTGGTTCCGTACTTTTTATGAAGGAATTACGGACTCACCCCTAACCAAACCCTCGAACTGCGGTTTCAATCCCTGAGTGTCTTTCCTGCGAGGACTGGGATACGTTGGTGCCCGGGAAAGATCTGTAGAGCTGCCATTACCGCTGAGCTTGGAGCTGACAGCTGGTCGGTGCTCGATGGACCGTGGAGGCTTTATCTTCTGTTGGAGAAAATCATCTGCAGTCTCATCTTTCACGTCTGCGTCCCAATCATCATCCGTTTGAGACATGAAATCTGTAAAGTTTCTCCCAGGTCGATGAGTTGGGGTAGGGAGTGGAGGGGATGGTATAGAAGGCGGTGGAGTCTTGGGCCGCACGGAACTAATCGAGTAGTGAGATGGGTGATATTTTTAAGATAGCTAACGGAGAGGAAGCATTACAGTGACTCAAATTTCAACATGTCTGCATGAGAATAAGCAGCCCCGACAATTTTTGAGGGGTCTCGGGTCCTACAGCCATCCTTCCATGTCAGCGGGGAGGAGGCCTTTGGAGAGAACATGGGGGGATACAAACTGCGAGCTGTCACGTTGTGAGGCAGTGGCCGAATTACTCGAACGACCTCTCCAGAAGGGCGAGGGTGAACTAGTTTATTTGTAGCATCAGAAACATATACGGCAGATGTAAATCTCATGGTGCTGCTGACAGCAGCAAGAAACACATTTGGGGGAATTACTCTGAACGATCTACACCCAGGATAACAACGAAACACGGAACATTGCATTAGCATATTAAACTTTTTGGTAAGCTCCGAGGATATTTATATTCTGCGTGAAAGAGCGTGGAGCAGGTGGGGGGGGGTGGGGGGGGGGGGGGAGATGGATGACATGCCAACTTGCACCATTTCCTACGCAGTGCAATGCAAGGCGGCGTTAGCGGATTCGCTTGGATGTAAGCGAGAAGCATATGGAAAGAGAGGTAGGATCGAGGGGATATGAAGACGAGAATGATTATGCGCTTGTAGCATGTACATGTACTTATGTGGTGGTGGGTGACGATGGTACAATAGGTGGAAGTCAAAGTTCATGAAGGCATGTTGTAGCTACATTGCCCACCGAAGCAAACATGATTAAAGAAGGAGCAAGTGCATACCTGTTGTTGAGGGTCCTGCTGCTTGGACTGGGACCATATTCCGCGCATCGTGAGAAATTAGGCCGGAGAGGTCGACGGCGGCGGGCGGGTGGGGGAGGGGTGTACAGGCGGGGCGGCAAGATGATAGAATGAGGCGAGAGTAAGAGTTACTGTCTGTATTGCATGTATGTATGTAATGCTACCGAGCAGATCGTCAGGCGGGAACGCCTGATGGTGCCAGTCAGGATCCCTCTCAGAAAAAGCGTTAGTTATGTGTATCTGTATCAGTGTCAGTGGAGTGGCAGGTTTGGCTGAATGCTGTTTCATAGGCCCTTGTCAATTAAATCCACTCCATGCGTTCATGTGTATGCTACTTCAACTCTTAATGGGCGTCTTGTCTTGTCGGTATCACGAAGTTTATCCGTGCCAAGACTGTGGAGACCTCTCAATACAAAACGTTCACTCATCGCCATTCACGGAAGAGTCTCACAACTTCTTTCCCCCAACCCCTTTGGCTCTTGGTTTGTCTCCGCAAACGACATATAAGAAGTTTGTGTGAAAAGGAACATTTGCACACCCATATTAATCTATTGGCCGATTTCATAATACTAAACCTCGTCCCCTGCTAGCCGACTCTATTCTGTGTGTGCCTTGCAGACCTAACCCGCGTTCTTTTTCGGTCCATCGCATCAATACTACGTCCACAGTCTCGCGGAGCCTCCTTTGATCTCACTTAAATCAACAGACCCCCCTTCCGTCTCTCTTCCACATCCATCCTTGTGCCAACGTTCTAACACAACAGCTACAACAACCTTTGTTCAACTAGTGCCCCCCCGTTATTAACAAATAACCTCTAGCTTTTTCATAATGGAGGCCGACGAGTTGATGGACGATGATCTCTTTGCCGATCTGTGAGTAACAATTCTCCGGTCCGACGGCTTTGTTCGAGCGGAAGATACTTTGAAGCGCGTCATGGCTGATTCTCCTGGTTCCCATAGTTACGGTGACGATGAGCCTTCAAAGACTACACAAGCAGAGCAATCAAAACCTGCACAGGCACCTGTATCTACACCAGCTCCTATGGTAGCGGCTGCCCAACCTGCTGCCCCAATCACTGAGAACAATGTGCCAGCAACTTCATATGCGCAAGAGGCTACTCCTGTCCCTACTGTTGCCCAAAAGGCTGTTGATCCCAGGGCCCCTCCCCCATCTCAGCCCACTCCTGTTAACCAACAGCCTGTTAAAATTGAGAATCCGTACGCCATTGAGGAAGAAGCTGACACCTATTCTGGATGGGACGCTGCTATGGGTGGCTCCAATGGTAATGATAATGGTGCTTACGGTGGCTATGGATATGATGGAGCAGGTGGAGCAGGGGGGTATGGAGATGGGCAGGTATCTGGGAGTCCAGCGATTAAGGAGGACGGGTGCGTATTTATATTATACTTCTTTTTTTATGTTTGCACTGTGAGGGTATTCTATGAAGCGAGAGGGGGACACAAAGGCTAGGACTGGTATTAAGGCATTCTTCGATGGAATTTAGCTGGTTAAACAAGGGCTCTGAGAGGAAGGTCAAAGGGATAGGGTAGATATGAGATAAAGGGCATATTAGGAGTGGAAAGTACATACATCCTACTTCGACAACTCTATCTCGAGCTATAACTACTATATCTACCGCGGCGAAAATTTCGATAGAGGACCTTGGAGTACAGGGGAGCATCCTGCTTTGTCATCTACCTACTGCTATTCTACTCTACCTCTACTTCTATACGAGAACTAGCTAGCAGTACAGCATTAAGATGCACGAAGGATAGTTTGTGTACGAAAGCAAGAGAAAATGGGAATCAAAGATTGGCTTGGACTCCAGATACTTTTTTTCCAATATTCTACATCAACAAAAAGAATGCTCGAAAAATATGCCTTTCACCCTTTCACCTTCGAGGTCACTAGTCCACCTCTTTTGGGGAAATCATTGTCATGTCCCAACAGTGACAATGGCCTATATCTAACCTACTCTCGCTTCATGGGGGACCCGCGTGCTTGCATTTTCGCGTATTCTCTGCGTTGCAGTTATAGGATTGAAGTTGACCAGTGTTTTTTATAACTGTGTAGGAAAATGTTCATTGGTGGCTTAAACTGGGAAACAACTGATGGTATGGCCACATAAGACACTATCTATCACTCTCCCTTAATCCTGATAAGTCTATCGCATCGTATTTGATCACCTGCTAAGCGTACTTTGTGATTAATATAGAGTCACTGAAAGAATATTTCAGTCAATATGGCGAGGTTATCGAGTGTACTGTCATGCGCGATGGCCCAACTGGGCGATCTAGAGGATTCGGATTCTTGACCTTCAAGGATCCTAAGACTGTTAATATCGTTATGGTGAAGGAGCATTACCTTGACGGCAAAATAGTGTGTACCCTGCCTCTACTTATATAGTATGAGATTTCCGGTGCAGACGTTTTTATTAACCATTACTAGATCGATCCAAAACGTGCTATCCCTCGGGACGAGCAGGAGAAAACATCTAAGATCTTCGTTGGAGGCGTGAGTCAAGAAGCGTCAGAAGCGGACTTCAGAGAATTCTTTACACAATTTGGCAGGGTTCTCGATGCTACTTTGATGATGGATAAGGACACGGGTAGGCCCAGAGGGTTCGGCTTCGTGACATTTGATAGTGAGGGCGCAGTCGAAAATGCATTGAACTGTAAGACATTGGAAATTCTGGGCAAGCCGGTTTGTAGATCACTTCACGAATATTTGAACACGACTCCGTTCCTTATGACTATATTAACTTTGTTCGCTGTACATAGATCGAAGTTAAGAAGGCCCAGCCTCGCGGTAATATCCGCGAACGCATGAACGCCAACTTTGATGAGCGTGATGACCACAGGGGAGGTGGAGGAGGTGGTGGTGGTACTAGTGGTGGTGGCGGTGGCGGATCTTTCCGTGACCGTACAGATCGTCGTGACCGTTTTGAAAATCGCGACGGCTCTGCAATTGGCTCTAACTACAACAATGGCGGTGTCCCACAGAACCAACCTGCACAAGGTGGCCAACAAGGAATTTATGGTGGGATACCGCCGCAAGTGATGGCACAATACTACCAAAATGTCCAGAGATACATGCAGGCAATGCAAGCAATGGGCCGTGGTGCAGCCGGGCCGATGCCGATTGCGAATCCAGCAATAATGCAAGCTCTTGGAAGAGGAGCTGCCATGAACCCGGCAATGATGCAGCAGATGCAGCAGATTCAGCAAATGCAAGCCCAACAAGCCCAACAAGGCCCCATGGCCACTGTTGGTTCACCGGGTCCTCCTCAGTCCGGCCCACAAGGAGGATATGGGTCACCACAACCACAAATGGGATATGGTGGACCCCAAGGGCCTCAAGGCCAACAACAAGGCGGTGGGAGCTATGATAACAGTGGTGCTAGCTATCATGAAATGCAACAGGCCCAGCAACAGGCCCAGCAACAGCAACAGCAGCAGCAGCAGCAGCAGCAGCAACAGGCCCAGCAGCAACAGAATCAGTACAGGCAGCAAAGAAACTTCCAGCACCATCCATCACAAAGAGATTATCAACCACCTCAACCACAACCTAGCTCTTGGGAAGGGATGTACGATGATGTGCCTCCACAGCAGCAGATGATGCAGCAAGCTCGAATTGGTATGAATTATATCCCCCATTTTGTTGGTCCTATTTCCAGCCCTCCGGAGGTTTATCCTAACGACAAAGAAAACTCTTTTTCCGGTTCCTTTGGTAATTCATATAATAATATACCCCCCACCTCTTCTAACTCGCTCCCCTTCTCTATCCCCCCTCCTTCCAATTCTCAGGCCCATTTACCTTTCACTAAATCTCGCGAAGTTGACCATGGATACTCTTCTCCAGGAGGTGGTGGTGCACCTTATAGACAGAATGGACAGGGTTCCGATGGACCCCCTCCCAATGCGCCTACTGGACCACGAAATGCAAAGGGTTCCGGAAGTAACTATAGAGGAGGCGGAAGAGGTGCAACTGCAGCCAGGGCCAATGATAGAGGCGGTGCCGGGTATGGTGCTGGATATAGGGGTGGTTATCACCCTTACGCCAGGAATGGCTAGAGATTTTGCTATACGCACCTCCAAAACTGAAGGTAAACGCAAATAATCTAAGCAAACTGACAAGTCGATCAGGGTGGTTTCTGTGCTTTTTTGTCCCCTTTTATTCTCTTACCTATTCTTTCTCCCTACTCCGTCACCGATCTCATTGTTATATGATCGAGCCTAGTATTATCTCTACTTTTTTATAGGATACTAGGGAAAGGTGGTTAATTGAACGCATTGTATTTTTTCCCCTACTCTTTTTTTCTCTTTTTTTCTCTTTTTTTTCCTCTCTTCTTTTCATTCTTCTTTTCTTATTTCTGTTCTCAAATGCTTTTTTCTTTTACTTACAAGGTATATCCGGGCCTATGTTGTGTTGATGACTGGGAAGAGGATGGCTAAATTGTATATGTATCACCAAAAACACTACCATGTTAATTTGTGAGGTTTCAGCCCGGTGTAGGTAGAGAGCGCTAGAAGGAGATAGTGTATTACTAACTAATGTCCATACTAAAGATAGTAATGATCATCTTGAGTATTGAGTGATGTCTTGTGAACATGGCTGGTCTTTGCTTGAAATTTATACTACGGCCCATATGATATGAGTTCCTTAGATTCCAATTTACTTCCAATTCGCACGCCTCATTATACTCAACCCACTTGAAAAAGATCTCATCTGTGAGTAAGTAGTGAGTGATATTACGAATGCATCGGGGATCAAGCTTTGTGTTCAGAGTGAGAAACTATGATCCAGTTACAAAACCGTTCTCGGAAATCACGGCACGCTTGGACTTGTCTTTCTAGAATCGCCAAGAATTGACGTCAATCGAGAAGTCCCCGCCCAACGACCCCGACTAAACACACTACAAGCTCCAAGAAATCGATTAAACCCAGGACGATTTTGAATAGCTCACAAATTCACAAATATGCGCGCAATTGGTATCTCTAGTTTCCCCCAAAGCGCCCTGTGATCTTGGGCCCTCTACTAATGCTTCCTATATAGATATTAAGAACGGCTCTGGTCCTGCGGAATCATTGTTTATTAATGAGAATGTCGATACTCCAATTTTGAAGAATGGAGACATCCTTATACGGGTCAAGGTAGGTAAAACATTCATGGTATTGAGTAACATATCGCTAACGAAGCAAAGGCCTTCGGGTTAAACAGGATGGGTAAGCTTTAAGCTCCCCAAGAATAATAATCCTCGTATAAATATACTTATATATTAGCCCAGATCTATTGCAGAGAGAGGGAAAGTACGCAGTACCACCCCAGGCACCAAAAACACTCGGTGTTGAGTTCTCGGGCATCGTGGAAAAATTGGGCAATGGTACTACTGGCTTCAAGGAGGGCGAGAAGGTTTTTGGCCTAGCTTATGGAGGAGTAAATACCCCGCCCATCCAGGAATCTCAGGGCTGCGATTTAATCTCCATTTTCCGCGACAGGCATATGCAGAATTCATTGCCGTCTCAGAGAAAATGTGTATGCACATGCCTGACGAACTATCCTACGAGCAAGCAGCAGGAATTCCAGAAACATGGATAACAGCCACCCAAGCTCTTTGGACCATCGGCTCCTTCAAATCTGGCCAGAGAGTGCTCATTCACGCAGGTGCTTCTGGTGTCGGAATTGCTGCTATTCAGCTTGCCCTTTCTCATGGTGCCTCGGCCGTCTTCATAACTGCTGGTTCTAATGAGAAGATTGAATTCTGCACGAAGACCCTTGGTGCCACAGCAGGCTTCAACTACAAGACTCAGGACTTTGCTGCAGAGATTTTAAAGGCAACTGATTATGAGGGCGTCGATGTTGTCATTGACTTTGTTGGTCAATCTCACTTCCAGAAGAATGTCAAGGTCGCGGCAAAGGACGGAAGAATTGTTCTTCTTGCGTTGCTCTCAGGGAATATGGTGAAAGAGTTTGACTTGGGACCGATCTTGTATAAGAGACTGCGGATCGAGGGATCAACGTTGAGGAGTAGATTGCCGGAATACCAGGAGGCTTTGAAGAACAAGTTCCAGGAGGAAGGGCTGCCTGGCTTGACGAGCGGAAAGTACAAGCTTTTTATTGATAAGACGTACAATTGGAAGAATGTGAGTAACCTTCTCTGTTTGTTTTACTAGTCTTGCGTATACTAACTATGAGGTGATAGATTGCTGAAGCGCACAAACATATGGAAAGCAACAAGACGCAAGGGAAGATTATCTGTACAGTTGATTAAGCCTTAAACTATATACGTTTGAGTGTGTACTGTAGTCAGTGGCCGTCATCTTAGACTACAGTGAAATCTCAATGGGATTTGTATCCTCCAGAATTTGAAGATGGAACAATACCTCTATCTTCGTAGGATAAGCAGCATCTTTACAACCATTTTAGACTGAAAAAATCTGGCAATTGATGTTGGCAAAGGAGAAATTGTGCACGTAATTAATATAGAAATACAGAAACAATGTGAAAATCCGCTTTTTAATTTTAATTATAAACCAATTTATTTACATAAAAAAACTTGTCAGCCAGTTTGGCTTTCTTTTGTCTTGTAGGATCAATATTAGTTAAAATTGTTAATTGTAACATCTTAAATTTATAGTAGGTCACAAGATATGTATGCAGCTTGAAACTTCAATCTCCCTTGAATAAGACTATAAGTTCGAGAGGCTCCAGGGAAAAAGAGTTTCTCCGCAATCCCTCAAATTTATGGTGCCATACACCGAGGTTGAGCTTCTACTTTTGCTTACACCTTCAAGAAAGGTTAATCCGCCCTGCCTGGTATTACCGGGTTCTGTGTCTTTGTCGAAGCTTGTTAAAAGCGTTGCTACCAAGAGCAACAGAAACCTGTAATACCACTCGTCGGAGTGAATCCCACAGATAGGGCAGTCATCTTAATCAGCTCCTGGTACTTGCTTAAGACCACAGGTTCGAGAAGCTACGCGAGTACGAAGGATACTCATGCGGACCCTCGAATCTGTAGTCCCAACCACGAGAGCTGATTTTTTGCCATAATTGAAGAGGGTGGGAATTGTCTGCCGCGTGCTTTATACCCCAAATCTAATTTCGCCGACCGGCCTTGGCGGCCATAGTATTGGAGCTAGAAGTCTGGGTACGGGTAGTTACCAGACCGTCTACTGGGATGTATACAATGGACGGGTTAGATAAAAAGAGGTGCTGTGCAAACCGAGTGATCTTTTATGATTACCCTTTCCGATGTACCTTGCACCCCACATATTACGATGTGTCCTTATATATACTTCTACTTCTACTACAGGCCTTCTATCAACCTCTCTCATCCCCAAAGCCTGTACCTTCCTCTTCATTCTACGCTGGACAGCAATTCCACGTCGACCGTCTATAGATAATCCCCCAGTTCCGCTGTCAAGATTCAATCCATTCCCCCCACAAAGTTGCAAAGCTCTCAACAATTGCCCCATCCCACAATATACCCTTTATTTTGCTCTATCTCGCTCCTACTACAGCACTAGCTAGACCCCTTTCAACCGCCCTCTTCCTCCCTGACACGTGGTACTGAATTATATCAGGCAAGACCGGATCATGACTAATCGACACATGCACAGGAGTCTTCATCGGAATCATGACGCAACCCAGCACTACAAACAAAATTCTAGACTATCTCTCCTCTCATGCAGTGCCTTCTACGAAACAATCCAACCTATACTTTCATATCGAGAGAGCAAACTCGAATGCACAAGACCGTTACGAGCATATCAGGGATGAACATCGACTATACCAAGCCGAGAACAAAATCAATCTCCCTCTATCAGTAGGTATCAAGAGTAAGACTTTCCCTCCGAGAGCCATCTCATGTTATAGTTTTGACTTATGTCAGAGCTCAGGAAGGTTCTTTAAAGTCTCTCCTCACCAACTCTCTAGCTAGCACATAGTAAAACTAACGCATGATGACCTTCACGTCGATCACGCAGAACTCAGCGATATTGATTCTCAAAGTTCCAATCTACCATTTCTTACCGCTTGCTGACTATAACGCGTCAGATAGTTAGCTCCTGTGACGTTGGCTTTAAGTTTCTCCACCCTATACCTACACCACACCCACCACACCCACTACACCGCACTCACGCTTACCCACACCTCCCCACCGCCGCCGCCGACCTCAACCGCGGAATCAGAAACTAAACGCGCCCCAAGGATACAGAGACGGAAGAAACTACCTCCCAATAATAGCAACCCCTCCCTCCTGCCCAAACAAACAAGCGAAATAACCCTATGCCCTAGTTTTAGGAGGTGCCAATGATCTCGAGAAAAAGCTCTTGGGCCATGCGTGGGTGTGAGTTAAGCTGTTGGTTGTGGTTTAGGATAGTATCTTGCAAAAGGGAATGGCGGATGCTACGTGATGAGAGCCCCTCTCTTCCCCCGGCTCTAGTGTTGGGCACGAGCCTGTTCGAGACGAGCTTGAGTTAGAGCTCGAGTTGGCTCGGATTGTGCAAACGAAGGCTTGGGATGTCCGAGCTCGTGAGTATGGCTCGAGCTTAGGCTCGAGCTCTAATTAAAGAGCTAAAAATGGTCATCTCGATATAGGTTTCACTTTTAAAGACGAACTCAAGGGGTTTATCTTCGTTATATTTTCCAATTTTGCCATTACTGATAGTCCAAAAAGCTCGAGCCTAAGCTCGAGTCTTTCTGGTACTAGCTCGAGCTGGCTTGCGCTCGTAAGAAGGAGAGCTTGAGGTGTTCGAGCCCAAAGCTCGAGTCCAAAACTCGAGCCAGCTCGGCTCGTGCCCAACACTACCCGGCTCCCTCTTCTAGAGAAATCAAAGACCGAAAATCAAAAAACAAAAACAATTATTCGAGTAGTTATTATTTCTATCTAAGTTTATACTACGGAGTTAAAAAAGAAAAAAAAGGACAAAAGGTACTGCAACGGCGGCCCGTTACTACCCCCACTCTTTGAAGGCTCGAACCCAGGACCTCGCGGTCCTGAGCAAGCACACAGTGTCACACCCGACGCCGGGGTCTAAACCGTTAGACCGCTCGCCCTTGCTGATATTATGCGGGAAGTGATATTTAACCTTGGTGGTGTGTGAAGATGAAGCGGAACACCTAGCCCTGGGATTTTCCCTAAACCCCGCCAAGCCTAACCAGTCTCAAATCAACCGAGTGATAATTCATGAAGATGGTTACAACGAAAACCTGGTCCAACTACCGGATAAACACCACCTCGCCCCGTGATGGTTCAAGAATAAGAAGTAGGTAGCGTCGCACAAACTGTAATTCTTGCACCCCCCCTTGCCTTGTCTGCAGAGTTTTATTGATCCCCCCCTCCCCACCACCCCCTCCGCGGATCGGTTTTCGGGCAGGCACGAACGAGTGAGCGAGCGGGGAAGATAGTGTGGTAAGTGTGCGATAATCATATAGAGGAGCAGTAATATGGCACGGTATATTATATCGAACCTGCTAGAATGTTGGTATGGTAGATAGATACAAAGAAAGAAAAGAGGAAGGAATGAAGAGCAGAAAAACGTTGCTAAGATTAATTGTCGTGATACATACCCGGGACGAAAGAAAAACAAGAATAAAAAAGATAAAGAGAACTCCCGTATCCGGCATGAAGGGGGGGGAAGGGAATAAAAACACCGTCGCCATATAGTTACAGAAAGAAACCAAAGCCCATACCAAATCTATTAACCTAGCGCCTAAAGTAAAACCGTAAAAAAGAAAGAAAGAGCCCAAATAGTACAATGATGATGCCTCCGATCAAGGCGAAACTAAATAATCCGCCGCTGTCGGTACAGGCTTCCTCGTCGGGCTTTGTGACCCTGATACTGTTGAAGCTGTCGGCTCATTGCTCTGTGCGCTCTGCGCGCTCTGCGCACTCACACTGCTGACCACCGTCTCTGCCACAGCTACCCGCTCCACCACGGGCGAACTCCACGGCGGCTGCTCACTCTCCTGGCGCGGAAGACTAAAAAACAATTCATCTTGTTGATTTTCCATTACCGGCGGACTGATTGCGCCGGAAGTAAGTGCGTGTAACTGCGCTTCACCAATCGAAGACACTGGGGAGCCAAAGGTATACTCGTAGTTGAATTCTCCTGAGGGCGGCATGACCCGGAGCTGGGGGAGCTGTGGTGGAGGGCTGTGCGGGGGAACTGGTAGGGGGGACATATTGGGCATGGACTCGCCGCTCGGGATGTTGTTGTATCTGGTGGAGGGTCCACGTCGGAGAGATCCGATCATTCCTAGTAGTCAAGAGATGTTAGATGTGGTGTATTTCATAAAAGGGTGCGAGTATGCTTACCTCTAACGCCTGAGCCAGCTCCCGGACTAGATCTAAGGAAACTTCCGTTTGAGAAACCCACTGATTCCTTCCTGAGATTCTCATCCCGCCGTTTTTTCGACCATAGATATGCCAGCACAAAAATCCCAATAAAGCCTACCAGCGCACCGAAACATGCACCGACTATAACCTCCACATTTGGCGTTTTGGGACTCGCGCCTCCAATAGTTGGCGTATCGTCCACTGCAATTGATGATGGCACCGCCGTTGCGGATGCGGAGGGGGTTGCGGTTGCTGTTACCGTCTGCTGGGTTGTCCATGTGCTGACCTGGGTCGATATCATAGTTGTTGTTACCGTCATAGGTGCCGCCGTACTAGTCTGGGCATTTGTGGGGGTTGCATAGACGGTGACTACGGAGGTTGTTACCCCGTCTGTCCAGTCCCAGTTGGTTGCTGTAAGGGTTATGGTTTCTTGTGCGTCCTGGCGTCGCAGGACGGGCGCGCCTTGGCCCCAGGACTTTGTTGTGGTGGTTGGGGCGACGATTTCGATGACTGTATTGGTGGATAGGGGAGCGCCTGTGACGATGTCTGTGATTGTAGCTATGTTCACATTTTTTGCTGGCGGTGTTTCCGCACCAACTGCTGCCACTATTTCTCCAGACTGCAATACTGCCCCAGATTGTGATACTGCTCCGGTTTGTGATGTTGCTCCAGATTGTGATACTGGTGTCCCTGCACCTGTTGTTGCTGTTGTTGTTGTTGCGACTATTGTATTTATGTTTGCGCTAGTTGTTTCAATTATCTGAGAAGCAGAAGCAGAAGTAAAAATAGAAGTAGGAGTAGAAGTAGAAGTAGAAGTAGTGGCTATCTGTGCAGTAGAAGTCGTAGTAGCCGTTGTTGGAGCGGTTGATTCAATGGGCGTAGTGGTAGTCTCTATTGTCGGCGTCACAGTAGTAGTTGTAGCTGTAACAGTATTCGTTACTGTCGTTCCAGTCGTGATAATGCTTGTCATCGTGACGATAGCTGTCTTTGCGGTGGCAGTTGGCGTAATTGTTGTCGTCGAATACTCTGTTACTCTCCATCCACCTTGCATAGTCACAGTAATCCACTCTGTTACCCGCGCTCTCTGTGGTTCTGGCTCCCTCTTTCCCAGTTGCCTTGTATCGATCTTCATACCCAGTGCCGTAGTCCCCCATAACAGACAAATCATGAAAGCCCCGACCCTACCACCACCAAAACCACTTTCCAATCCTCTTCCTCCTAACCCTTCACCTCGCCGCAAGATATTCAATCGCATGACTATTGCAAGGTTTCGCCTTTTAAAAATAAAAATTCGAGGAAGAGAAATAGAAAGAAAAATTCAAGATTCCCAAAGCTAGGGATATATTTCACATGCAGTTGATCAAGTAGGTGTGAATGTAAGTAAAGTAAACGTGGGATCAAAGGGAAAGACAGTCTACAAAGAGATGGACAGGCAGATGACATTGCTTTACAGGTTGAGTGAGGCTGGTCCGGTAATCTATTCCTCAATGCGCAGGTGCTGAGAGGGGCAGACAGAAACTGTATAGTATTCTGCTCCGGTAAATAATAAGGGCCAACTGCAGGATGCCGGTAGCATGAGGCATGATTGGGGCGTAGGCGGCATGGTTAGTAGAGTAAGAGTACAGTGGTGTTTACACTAGTAGGCATGCGCCACATGGGTGGGCTACTATTTTTAGCCAAGACCCCTTCAAGTTTGATAGATGAGAAGATGCGTCTTGAAGAGGTATTAAATAATCTAAAAAAGGTTAGTCGATGCCTCGTTTATTTCGGAAGAGACGATGTTGAGCCCTACAAACTCTTATTTCAGATCAGGCATGCCAATAGATGCGAATGGGCGATCGGCATGCCATTCATTGCATACCCATCCCAGGTCCGGTGAAGCAGGCACACGACAAAATATCCTTATCAACCCACCACTTCCTTTGTACAGTAGCAGCAGCAACATACAAATGCGCAGACATTCTTTGGAACACCGAAATTCATTATAATAACGCGATCCGCAAAACTTTAAAGGAGCAACAGTGACGTTTAAAGTACCTCATGATCTCCGCAAAAAAAAAGACAACATTCCTCGTGCCACAGATGTAGCGAAAATGACAAGTCGCTAAAAACCGAGCCACTATCACTCCGCATATCCAGCCTGGTATCTCGAGATACAGGCTATTTATACCCCCCCCCCCCCCCTTTTTCCCTTCTCCTCAAAGCTTGTAACTTGCCCCATTCTAATTTCAAGAGGCTCGCTGAGCCCCATGTGCCTTAATGTATGAAGTATTGTTCACCAACTAGCCCTACGGAGGCTCGTCCGACAAAATATTTCAAACGGACAAAGCGGATTTCGAGCGTCATTCTCGTATTTACGGCTCAGTGCGAATAGGGGTGTTTAACCCGAGATTATGTTGAATTCCTTTGGTGGAAGAATGAATGACCATTGACCACTACTGTATGTAGTTAGCAGATCACTTACGTACATGTAGTTCCTTTCGATTTTTCACGCGTTATGTAAGAATAGCAACAGTTATCTGGCCAATTAAGATCTGTTTTAGGTGAGCTATTGCTTGACATGTTATGTTGAGACATTGGTCCATAGTGATCGCTGTGCGGCCAGTATGTACTTATCTTCAGCCAGTGGTAGGTTCTCCAGTAAGGCTGAGAACAACCATGTGCTGTGGTTCCATGGGAAGACACATGCAACACAGTGGGTCCGTGCTAATGAAAAGATCAGCACACGAAGTTTATTTTTCTGCTCTTTGAGTAGACTCAGTAGAGTACAGTCGTTCACAGGGTGAGGACGAACACTGGGTGTAGACGAACAAGGATTTTTGGACAAATAGAAAGATCACTTGGGCAGCTTGGATGTTTCTTGCCATATTGAGAACCCTGGTTCGTCTTCACCCAGTGTTCGTGAACGACTGTAGAGTAGTCTAGAGTAGAGTGAGTCGGGGGTAGGGAATAACTGGAAAGTGTCTCTCAGCCGTTCCACAGTTCGCTTCGATCCTGTGCTTCCTCTTGCAGCGAGTGGCATGCCGTGTTTGTTCATCGATTACTGCGATCGCGCCGCCACTGCCATCATTGAGCATTATTCCCGACTGTAGAGCACGGCGCGTTGCGGCAGGTTATGGCGAGTGATCACTTGTGAGGATGATTTAGTCGAAATCGGCATCGGTATCGGCATCGACGCTCATTTTTTTTTAAAAAAAAAAGCCATCTGCGTTTTGGACACCATTAATCCCTTGCAAATCCCTCACACAAGCATGTACTCTAGCTACATGTATGTAGGTAATGGCTTTCAGGGTCAATGCTGTGGTCTGCGGCTGAAATAAAGCACAGGAGAGGGGAAGTGGAACGCAATGTCACATCACTGAATCAAAGATAAGGAAGGGGAGTGGAGAGAAGGAAGGAAAGCCTGAAAACCCATGGTTCCAGTTACTCTACATGTCGAGAAGTACGTACTCGGGGTAGGTAAAAAGTACCGGACAATGTAGGTTTTTGGTTCACCAATGGGCGCGCGTGCTAGGCGTGAACTACTGCAAAAAAAGCCCAGAGACAAAACTTGCATTTTCCGGTACTTTTTGCCTGCCCCGAGTACGCAGAATGTCATCTACAGGTGTAAGTGCAACTTATTATAGCCCACACCTATATTCCTAAGGTTATGAATTTTTGCCTGAGCTTAAACACGGCGCTGCAAGTACTTTCCCGGTACAGACGGGAAACTGGGATGCAATTGATATCATCCCGTCGTGATCATGATGCGACATGGCGCTGTATGAGAATGTCAAACCAAGTGCCCAGATTACTCCACAGTTAGGTACCCATGCGAATACTGCCACTCCATGAACCATACACTCGCTGTAAATAGGGCGACGGTTGATCCCGTCTGCTGGCGGACAGGGACTTGAAACCAATGGTAGAGCTCCCCACCCTGACGACCCCATGCTCAATTATACTGAAAGTACCGCATGTCTGCCACCAGCATGTACTCTAAGTAAGGTTCACTTCCCAGAGTGGTACCACAGTTTAGCGGCATTTTATCATGTTGACACATACGGAAAGTTTGTCTGCTTCCGCAGCCCCAGACAGAAGCTTTACACCTCCCCCCACACACATGGCCAATGGCCATCAACACCCTTCCCAACAATACTTCGAGAATAATACGGGCATAAACCTCCCACGAATCTAAGTTTCTACATGCTGGTTTTCAATCCGATAAACAAACACACTCCACCACACCCCTCCAAATCGAGATGGAGTTGAAACAAGCCTCGACGCCCAAAGCTTATTTCGACCTCTACGCCCTCGTTGTATCCCGCTGCGCTGTACGACCCTTACATCAAATCGGAGTACTATCACTCGCCAAAAGCGCATACACATACGTATGCACATCCAGAAGCACTTTCCATGGACGTTACACAAATCCAGGTAACCTCCCCGGTAACCCGAGTGTTTCGGGAGATGCAGCAGCCCCACGTACAGTGGCCGACTGAAGTGTTTCTAGACACACGATGCCGTAACCGCAAGTCAATTTCCAGTTCCGAAACGCGAAAAAAGGGCCACTACTACCACTGTACCTCGGCACCCCGCACGCTCCCGGTGTAGAAAACACCGGGTCCCCTTTCTTCGGGCACTTGGCTGTTTTGGTCGGTGAGCGTTGAACGGTGAGTTTCGGATAAGATGGGTAAGTGCACATTTGAAAAGTGCGCTTTGTTTCCAATGCGGGTTGCGTGTGGTGGTGGGCCGGATATGTGGCGGGTACGGACCTTGCATCACATCGCATTGCGTTGTGGTGGTGTTGTGGGCCGAGTGATATTCTGTGATTGTGTGATGATTGATTGTACTAGTGCTACCGGATTGAAGCCGCCCAGACAAAAAAGGCAATTCATCTAAAGACTGTAAAAGGGTGTGCGCTTATTAGATGTAGCTGCCGGACCACTCGCCACGGTTCTTTGGGCGGCTTCAAACCGGTCGCGCGAGTCAAGGCTCAACTTCTAGTGAGTGAAGATCTCTACTCTTATACACTTGCTAGCCTGAAGGAGCAAGTGAGGATTTATGATCAGGTTTGCATTTACTCAGTAACAGGATGTTTCCATCAAAGACAATAAGGGCACAACCTCGTGTACGTGCCACAAAGAATAGGAACCAAGACCTATATCAAAAAATACTAGGGTGGGGGGATATCGACAACACTATAACAATAAGATAAAAAAAAATACTTTCCTTCCCCCCTCCTTCACCAAATAGAGCAGCTGAGAGCACGAAGAGCATTGGGAGGTGACTGACAGCGAGCACACGGCAAAACATGGGATGATTGAACTGATGCGGGTTCCGAAAGTACTCGCTATTCCCCTCTGCTCGTTATTCCCTCAGCTACTCTAAAGGTTAATCACTACTTGGAAATGATCCATAGCTAGGTTCTTCGTCTGGCGCAAGAGATCTAGAATCACAGAATTGCGAAAGGTGCGGATTTTCAGGATCTCTGGTAGATCCATTCTGTGATGAAAAATATCTGCGTAAAGCCGGTAATTTTTCTTTGAATTTAAGTCCAAGCTATTCATTGTCTGAGGTGAGTACAGCCCTTGCTCAAAAAAAGTGGGGGGGGGGGGGATATAATGTATTTAGTTCAGGGGCCAAAGAAAGGAGCGTGAACACAAACCACGATCAGCGGTACTGTAATACCATGCACAAAAACACTCGAAACCACCATGAACCACACCACCAATGTTGCCGTCTCCTGTAACTTTGTCATAAAGTCCCCGGAAACGCCGTCCCTCTGTAGCCCACGCGTATATTCAGAGAGGACAGTGAGATAGAACACTGCACTGACTCCTATTGGTCCAAAGTAGCCCGCGAAAACAGCATGCTGCCATGTATGAATTGCGGGAATAAACTTGTGTGTTAGTAAAACAGCGGGCAGACGTCGCAGAACAAGTAGTGCAAGAGACATGCAGACGAGTTTTGGAAGGGACAATAATGCGGTGTTTTCGAGGAAAGATCCCCAGGGGATGATAAGGCCAAAGTAGGAGAACGCGGTCAGGTTCAGTAGAAGATCTACTGTGGGGGCGAGATGGTCGTCTTTGGTTTCGAGGCGGTACCAGTCACTAATGCCCCGTTAGAACTATACACTAGCTAGCCAAATAGTAGGTTGGTGTATCTTAAGGTCATACGTACTCAAGAGTAAACACGTTTCCGGCCACAAAGCAAGCCAGTACATCATCGCCGCCAGCCATTCCGCAAGTCCCAACGATAAAAAACTTCAAGTTCAGTAAGCTCTGTGTTTCTCAAGCATAAGAAGACCCCAAGGGCTTGAAAAACTTACCCCCAGTGCCATGGCAAATACAAGAAACGATTCTCGCCCGACCCACTTCCTAGGATTTCATGTTAGATTTGATTCGGCCAAGATATTTCAGCAAAAATTGGATAGAAAACATCATCAGACGAAATCATTGCATTAAATCTTATGGTATGTGCCCCCCAATACAATGCTTTGAAATATCATTAGCTGATTGCGATTGGCAGACACTTACTTCTTAATTGCCCAACGTAACATCTTTAAGCCTAACCATCCGATAAAAATACCATATACTACGCTGAGACCAATAACATAAAGTATAGTATCGCTAAACCATATGCTGAGGGCTCCTAAAGGGTTATCTCCGTACTCGATAAGATATAGTGCCAAAAATAAGAATGAATATCCCAAGCCATCATTGGCTCCGGATTCAGCGATGATGATATTTTGGAGTCGGGGAGCAATGAACTTGTCTGCAAATCTTCCTTTCACCTATCATACATTATGTGCTGTTTCTCTAAATGGGGAAAGAGGCCTTACTATTGAGTTTGCAAGAACAGGATCTGTAGGTGCGATGCATGCAGATATCGCAAGGGCTCCGAGCTGGGGGATATATCACTTAGCAAAGGTTGTGAAATACTCAAAGTGGGCAATATACCATTGTCATTTGTGGAACAAATATCCAGACGATTATACTGCTCATAATCCACATACAGGTCATCACTGGGCCTAAACTGAGTCAAATAAGCAAAATCTTAGCAGATGCTCGCAGACCCTTTTACCTAGTAACATAGCCAATGACTTCCGTTCGAGGAGGAGATATTTGCTGGGCAACTGAACACCAACTATCACCAGCTGTATTCCCAGAACAAGTCTGGTAAGGTTTCTTGTGAAATTTTCGATGGTTTCGACATTAGCATCTATCAGGGGCTTTACCAGGCCCAGATAAACTGATCTAGACCAGAAGGCACCTGTGCCTAACGCGATGACTATTACAGCATGAAGTCTTAGTAATACATTCGAGAAGGGATCAGGAATAGTTTGAACATCACTTACATGATTCTGAGAGGTATAAACTCTCTGTAACAACCAAGGAAACTAGGCTAAATGAGATGACGAAACCACCGCCCAGCATACATGCTTTGTTGAAGCTACTAATGTCTAGCTTAGGCATTTAGCTAGATGGATTTGATGAAACCGGTATTTTCTTCAAGATGGTTATTTGAGGATATGAAAGGGTTTGGTTTTTCTCAAGAGTTTATGATTTCTCGGGTTCCTTTATACTTTAAGAGATGGCACAATCGGGGCGGGGGCTCTCAATCTAGATCTGTTTCCGAGTTACAAAGTGACTGCACATTCCTGCAGCAACCCATACACATACATTACCTACACTAGGGATAACTTAGTCTCGTACCCAGCCCGTTACTTGCAGCAAGCTCCCACAGTACGGTCTAGTGCTATATCTTCCCGACAAATGTCGGCCGACACTCTTGTCGGCCTCTGAAATGTGATATTGGGCTCTGAATTGTGATGTAGGGCCCGACTTGTGATATAAAAGCCCGAAATGTGATATCGGGGTCAGAATAAACCTTAATTTTGATGTCAGAAGCTAAAAAAAAGTTTATTTTTTGTATGTAAATGAGTCCGGCAGCCACCCCGATAGCCGACACCCCATACAAAAAGAACTCACCCAAGTCGGGGAGATATAGCACCAGCCCGTCCTCTAGAAGCATGGAAGTAGACGGGTTGGGGACGAGCCTAGGGATAACTTTAAATGAGTTTAGCTACCCTTAAAATAAAAAACATTCTATTAGGTTTCTAAAGACCCCCAGGCCAGCTGAACCGGATACGTGATTCGAATATCCACCTTGCCACAAACCCCCAGCTAGCATCATTCGCATAATGCTTTCGTCCGCTTAAAAATTTAGCGCACAGCTGACATCTTGAATCTTGTACCCCTACAATACATGTATATTTGTATACAACATGATGTATATACATGTAATGCTTACATGGCACACGCGCACACATCGACGGATGCCATAAAAACGACTACAAATGATTCTGTCCGCCCGAAGTTGCCCTAATAAAGAAGATGTCGCATATTGTTACATATAACAGTCGAGCGATTTAAACATAATTGTGCTACTTATGATATGTTTCGGTCCCGTCTTTCTCACGGCCGGTCGAGAAGGTGCTATGATGCCAAGAAATAAGCACGCACAAGAAATGCGAGAAATCCAAGCGGATTAATCCTTACTATTTTCTAAGGTCCATCTATCCATTAAGTACTCGTAGTGAGGCCTGGGAAGTGTTTTGGGCTTTTGTAGTTCAAAGCCATAAGTAAATGTTTGATAACCTAGAAATTAATTAGGTTGGAGATTGCCATAACTGTAAGGTTGCATGCAATCAATGAATTAAACAAAAAAAAAATTTAAGTTGGAGATATCGCGCGAACCTTCAACAGAGACCCACAGGAATAAACACTCGAAAAATTCGTTCAAGACCGAAAATATATTAGAACTATAAGGCCCAAGACATATATCACAGAGAATCTAATTATGGACCCACCCGCCACTTATCTTTAAACTCATTTGAGTGACAGAACACGCATATTTTCCCTGTAAAATATAACCCTTCCGGTGAAGCAGGCCCAAAGATATCAATATTGACCTTAACACGAACACTCTACCTACATCCCTACGATAAAACAAAGTGCACTTAGAAAAATGAGATTGTGTCTATAAGAAACTACGAAATGGCACGTGACACATTAACTACATCTTACAAATCAAGTCGCGAGTGATAATCTGTGAGTAATCAAGTATCGTGATCAACCTAACGACAAATGGCTACATAACGACTAGATTTCATATGATCAATACAGAATGGATTTAGATGCATGAGTAAGGCCCTGGAAAAATTTGGAATTTCAATAGGCCATCTATGTAAGAAGGGTACTAGGCGTAGCAGCTGCTCCATGTCACATCATCTGTTGCAAACCGAAGGCGAGCCGGCAAGTACAACTCTCAACATGCTTGGTAATAAAGTCTTTGATTCCAAATCTCCTCTATCAATTTTATTCAAAACTTGAACTTTTTTTCTTATCCATACAATCACTACCAGTCCTTCCGAGAAAAGAAGTGGGTATCACACAAAATTAGTCATCAAACTTGATTTTTGTCGCCGCTTTCGCACTGTGAACTAATTAGCAAAGCAAGTTATAAGCTATAGGAAGGTTCTAACTTACCCATCCGTCTCCTTATAGAAAGCGCCATATACAGAGTGCTCCTTCTTCTTCACTGTAGTTCCGAATTTCAACAAACTCTCCGGTACGGGCTGTCCAGCTGCCTTGAGTACGTTTACGAGAGCACCGGAGTGTGCCTAAATGAAATATTAAAAATTGGTTCGCTGGAGCTTTGGAATATGGTTATAGTTTACCTTATCGTGCTCAGTGAAGAAGGTATAAGCCATCCCATCAGCTCCGGCTCTTCCAGTTCGTCCAATACGATGAACATAGTCCTCAATTGTCAATGGGAAAGTAACATTAATAACTAATTTCACCTTCGGGATATCCAATCCTCTCGCCGCGACATCAGTCGCGATCAATAACGGGCAACTGCCATCTTTAAACTGCCCAAGTGCTCGGGTTCTTTGCTCCTGACTTAAATCTCCATGAATACCAGCAACTCTGAAACCGCCCTGGTTACGAAGGAACATCTCTATTCTTGTCGCTTCCTTCTTGTATAGACAGAATACGAGGATACGATCGTCTTTCATGGCGCCGGACTGGTGTTGTCTGACGAGAGCGAGAAGTCGCTGCTCCTTGGCACGTTGATCGATAACTTCGACAGTCTGCTTGATACGGATGTTCGCACGGAGGTCGTCCCGGTCACCAATTGTGATCTTGACTGGGGTCTTCATGAATGTGGCTGCGAGCTCACGAACTGATGTGGGCCATGTAGCTGTGAACATAAGTGTTTGGCGGGAAGCGGTGGGTGTGACAGAGATGATTTTGCGGATTGCGTCCTCAAAACCTTTATCGAGCATTCTATCAGCCTCGTCAAGGACTAGGTATGAGACTTGACTTAAGTCTGCACATCCTTCATCGATGAGATCCTGTAATCTTCCGGGAGTTGCTACAATGATGTCCGCACGCTTAAGCTTCTGTCTTTGCTCGTCTTTTGGCACACCACCATAGATACAGACAGCATTTAGCTTTGCAGCCTTTGAGAACTTCTCCATCGTCTCGTAGATCTGCATTGCCAGCTCTCTGGTGGGTGATACAACTACAACCTTAACACCCTTTGAGCCCTTGGTTGAGGTCTTCAGGGAGGCAATGTGACGAATTGCCGGAACGGAGAATGCTAGCGTCTTGCCAGATCCTGTCTCGGCAACACCAATACAGTCGTAACCAGAAAGAGTGTATGGCCATGTCGCGGCCTGAATTGGGGTAGGTGCTGAGAAGGCTGAGAAATCGAATGTGTGAGAAGGAAGGTGAGAGAACGAGGTTATTGGGCGAAGGTTAGATGAATGTGGGTCATTAATTAAGATGGCGTGTTTGTTAAGGTACTCGTCAACTGTAGTCTTCGGAAGGCCTGTCAGCTCGGAGCTCTGAGTGTACCCCGAGGTCGCTACTGGGGCTCCTGTGGAACCATTGTATTTATCTGCAGCGACTGTCTCCTTCGGAGATTCGGCGCCATTGGTGGTACCGTTTGATTCCGTGGCCTTCTTTGCTTCTTTTGCTGACTTCTTTGCGGCTTTTCGTTCTTCTTTCGATAACTTTTTGGGTTCTGCCGCTTCTTCTATAGCTAGGGTATCGGCTTTTGGTTCGTTTACTGTTTCGCTCTTTTCTTCGCCCTTCTCCTCGCCCTTCTCCTCGCCCTTTTTCTCCTTTTTCTCCTTCTTCTCCTTCTTCTCCTTTTCTTTCTTCTCCTTCTTCTCCTTCTTATCCTTTTTTTCCTTCTTTTCTTTCTTCTCTGGTTCAGCACTCACACCATTGGTCTCCTCTTTCTCGGTTTCAGGCGCAGGTGCGGCATCCGCGACAACGATTCCGGGAATAGTGTCCTTCTTAGACTTAGATTTCTTCTCACTCTTGTCCTTCTTTTTCTTTTTGGAGATTAGATCGGCTCCAGCAGCGGCCACTTCGGTCTCGACGTCTTCAATTGTGCGTTTTGCCATTATTTCGTTGGTGATGGAGGTATGGTAGGGAGTGCGTCGTCGCAAGTCTTGCTACAGCTTTTTTTTTTTGAGGTTGAAAATTTATGGCCCACGGACAACATGGTGCTTGGCGGTGAGGCTCTTAATAACCCTAGCCCTGATATAGTGTTTATTCACAATTTCTCACTCGGTAGGCTTACAAAACAGTGCGAGGTCTTATCAGCCTGGGCGTGTGAGGGGCTGCTAGCGCAGAAAGTCTCCACGAGCCATCGCCGTGTGCACATGCCTGTTATGTGATATCGCTGCCCAGTACACCAGCCACAGATGTAAGAATGCGAAATCACCTACACTCTGGCATGCGCACCAATAGCTGGCTAACTCCCCAGCTTTCATTTAACTTAACCTTACCCCGTGTGATCCGGGCCCTATGATTGTGCACATGTACAATTGCGACCTAATCCGCCAATCATGGAGCCATAAAAAGAGAGAATCAGTAGATATTAATGCCTCGTGCCTTCAAGTTTAAGTGAAGAATCTCCAGGGGGTTGGTGATTGGAGCGATTCCGGCTGATTGTTGTTTTTGTATACGTAGAAGATGTTCACCTGTATGCACATGCGCACACATGACCGATTGATATCTTATGATGCGCAACACCCACGAGTTCTTGGCGCGAACCAACCCTTGCAAGAATGTTAGAGCCACGATATGGATGCATACATCTGCATGCATATCGGCTCGGTTGGCGTAGGTGCCTACATACTCTAACAGGCGAGTCACCTATCCTCATAATAATATGCAGTGCAACAGACTTAAACTCCAGTCTTTAATTCTCCTAAACAAAGTGCGCAGAGTGGTGACTGATCAATAACGTTGGGGAAGTCGCGTGAAAAAAGTGCGGCGCCAAACCTGTGACGTCGCTTGTCGGAGGAATACTTATTGCATACATGTATTTTACCCCTTTTTCTTTTTACCCCCTGCGATGCTTTGCTCGAAGTATTTACAGAAAGTCGAAAAGGAATTTCAACAGTCTTGGGAATGCCGATTTTAAATCTTGAGGCTGAGGCAGGTATCGATCCACGCACGTCATTTTGTGGATTGTTTGAACCCAACGCGCTGGAAATGTTAGCTAGTGCACATGTACAAGGCTCTGGCATTAAGTGAGCGAACTAAATGGGGTGTTGACCGGTAAGGATCCGTTCACTCACTTAATGCAGAGCCTTGTATATACCTCTAGGCATGTAAAGATTCAACCTCCAGGGCCCTCTGAACCAACCAGGGCAATAGATAATTCACTTTCCCCGTATTTGCCACAAGCCAAAATTAACTTGCATGCTCATCTCATCTCGTTCTAACATGGTGCTTCATTACCTAGTGTAGGTATTAGCCACATTGGTAGTATTTTACATGTATGTACCTGTCAGTATCGTTTGCCTCGGTTTCTTAAAGAAATAGGGCGTGTAACACCGAGCCGAACCTTCCGTGGGCTCGTCTATTTCGGCGAGACATAAGTGAACAGACCAGCTACAACCATAAGCAGCTAGCCTTTCCGAATCGGCCTCTTTTATTTTATTTTACTTTATTTTTTATCCTTGTTCATGATCGTAGGTTGATGGATGCTTTTATACTTTAATTAATTGTCCTCGGCATCATGTCTCGGTATTTTCTGACTACATAAGCACATACATGTAGCGTAGATGATGACGATAATGCGGGGGCAATAAGTATAGAGTATAGGTACATGTATTGGTGCTGGCAGTAGCATGGCACTTTAGATATTGAACTGGGGTATCGTCATCTAGGGGGTCAATACCGAAACCGACCCTTGCCAAAGTAGTTGGTTGTGGGTTCATTGTGTTCGCGGATAGCTGCTTGCGCGACAACAGATGCTTCGGTTTTTTCCCTTAATTTTTTCCATCTTGATTCTCCTAGTTCGTATGGTACGGTATGGTTATTGTATAGGTAATGAGTTTGGTATCAAAGCTTCAAGAGCAGACGGTATTTAAGCAAGTAAATGTGTATCATGTCGCCATAGATGTCTAGCAATGTTATTGGTGCGCTAGAAGTTACCGAAGGGTTTCGTTTCCGGCGGCAAAAAGAGTAGGTACATACAACATACAGCGGGAGGTCTAGGATCATAAACAAGATGCCTGATCTCCCGTCAAAGAACGGTGGTTCAGATCACCGTCGTTGGAGAATTCAGGGGTAGAAAGCTAGAGAGAGGTCAAGGAAGAGTGGGGGATTGGACGGGAAACAGCTGTAGGCACTCCAATGCTGCCTACATAGTGCATGTAGACTACATCCAGTACTGGTACAACTTGGATGTATATGCAAATGCTACAAACCTGCACCTCATGAACGCTAACTCCGTCGATTCTGTAAATGGATATGCAGATATTATATTTGCATAGGATAAGCAGGAAAGAAAGTATACTAAGCAAACATCGTAAGAGGAGATGCGGAGGGCCTCGCGTCTTCATCTATCCCTATGTCTGCCTGTCCATTGAGCTACTACTATATTTATTTCCCACGCCAGGAGTAAAGTTCTAGCTCCGGACACCTTTCAAAATTTCATCCGTTCTTATTTCTTACTCAGTCATCTTGTGGAAGAAATCGATTTCCCTTGTTTCCTCGATATTTACTTGGGCGTCACACACAAGCTTGAGTTGTCTGGGGTCGGGGTGGGACTCTTTTTTTCCCCTCCTCTTAACAATTTCTCCTATGCTTGAACCTTGACCCATACCTTACCCATTACATACGCACTGCCGTGTCGTAAACCCTTCCCTTCCTTCTGCAATCGATACCGTGTGTGTTGATCCTTCGCTCTACAGAAAAGAAGAAAACCTACCTTGTTCACTCACATCTCAATTGGCCACTCATCACTACTAGGAGTAGGACTAGTTCCTAGCATAAGCTAACTTTCCTTCCTTTCTTCGCCCTGCAACGTTTCATTGCACCTCTCCTGTTGCAGAGGTTGTGAACCGAGCAACGATAGTTGAGGGAGGACAAGCCTAGGGCAGGGCGGTACGGAAGTGAGTTGAGAGGGTCTTTATTGTATCAATCAGTACCAGTGCGTACCGAGTGATAGCAGAAAAGCAGGAAAGAAGGGAGGAGGTCCCTTCCAGCAGCCCATTGGCTGGCTGGCCTACAATTCATCAGAGTTAATAAAGCTCTAGTAACAGTGGGAGAAAGAGAAAAAGGACAGGTGGGCAAGAGAGACATCCATCAGACACAAAAGGAAATAGGAAAATCCTACACCCAAAGGGAAGTAAGAAAGAAAAAAACCCAAAGTGAGCATCCCTCCCTGTACCCGCCGAATCAATCCCTCGTTCGTTGCTAACCTTACCTACCTTCAGGGGCAACCCTCACCCCGACTAGACACCTCGTGCCTGGTCCTGCCTAGATTATCCACATTTTTGTTTCTCCTATATTCTGAATCACCAAGTCCCTATCATATTCTCATTTGCTGGAAACAAGTGCGAAGTTCAGTTAGACCGCATCCCAGCCAGCCAGCCAGCCAGCCTAACCTCCCCAAATATCTTCCAACCACCCCCAAAGCGGAGGTTTCCTACCCCTCCCTCTCTAAAATTAAGAAAAAGCAATCTTCAATTGGGTGGGATGGTGCGGTCAAGTGGGACATCAGCAGTAGCATCGCCGTCACCGTCACTAGCTCGCACTGGTGCTGTTGCTAGTACTACTGCTACTGCTGCTGTTACCGCACCTCGCGTTGGATACCAACGTCCACCATCTGCTCAGAATAATCACCACCATAACCACCACCCTCCCCCTCACCATAGATCTACCTCATCGGCATCGATATCGTCAACGTCATCTGGGAAGGGGGTGACCGCTATAGCGGCTCCAGTGCACGTGGTGTTATCGCCTGGCTTTGCAAAGTTTGAAAAAGAGAAAATAATACCTTCCACAGCTCAGGTAGAGAGCTCGGATAGTCAGCGTACTATTAGGGGCCGTAACATTGATCTTTTTGGCATCTCCGGGAGCTTCGATAACGAGGCAAATCTTATTGCGACATCTCCCACCACCATCACAAGCACTACTACCAATACCACCACTAATAACACACCTTCAACCTCGTCCACACCCACAGCTCCCCAATCCAATTCGTCGCCGATATCTAGGTTCCGCCCTGCATTAAAATTGCACTCCCACACAAACGACGCGGTTTCTCAGCTTTCTCCAGCAAGACGTCTTCCCGGTCCTGTTACTGCTATCGCCGCAACAAACCCCTTTCCATTAAGCTATTCCGGAACGAGTTCTTCCATAACTACGCCATCGACTGGAACATCCGAAGGGTCTCAGTTCTGGAAATCGTCGCCCCCGCGGCCTCGACGTACGAATCCCGCTGCGCAATTATCCATCGCTACCTCGTCCCCCGCTCCTTACTACGGGATCAACAATACTCGCACACAACATCGTAGCGGCAAGGAGGATCCATCGCTTCTCCCCGCGTCCGCGCCAGAGCCGAAGAGTTCGGTTTTTTCGCCCACTGATTCTGTAAAGGCAAGGGGGTCGCCGAAGGCCAAAACAAGGGAACACAGGTCGCCTAGTCAGAAGGCGATGTTATCATCCGCTCTGCAGAAGGCCAACACGGCGGTCACGCTTGACAATGCAGAGAATTACGAGGGCGCAATGGTGGCATACGGGGATGCTTGTGCGTTACTGGAACAAGTAATGAGGAGAGCTGGAGGAGAAGAGGATAGGAGAAAATTGCAGGCTATAGTGAGCCTCCCACCCCCGCCGCACAGCAGCAGCTGCGATGGCTTTGTGTTCCTGAACCCCGCGATATTTTTGATGTTTACTATAAACCTTGCTCTTTTGCCTTGCATGAAACATTGTGGTTGCCAGGTGCTGGGAAAGTATATTGAAACGAAGCTAATTTAGGTGTGATTAGCAACAAACATATACCCAGCGCATCGAGGAACTAAAAGCGCTCGCCCCACGGAACGCGACTGTACAGAAACAGCTCCCCGCGCGCCCGCTCACAGAGGAATACACAGATCGTGAAAGCCTCTTCACGATTGACGATGATGGCGAATCCACAATGATAATTTCAACCGCTACAGCAACGCCTGTCTTTGGTAAGGGGCGCTATGGGAATGGTGTGCCACAAAATAATACCCCTGTACCCCCGAGAACAGATTCATTATATCTAGGTTCAGAAAACTTGATGCCACCAATATCGCATGAGACCGTACTTCCACTACCAATATCCGTATCCAATAGACGCTCAGCCGAACTTATACCTCTCCCGCAACTGTCCCCAGTGATATACGCGCCCATATCACCCAGGAGAGAGGATTTCATGGAGGGTGATGGTGATGTGATGACGAGATCATTTATGGAGCATAACAATCGGGAATCATTCACATTTGGCGCTGCTGCACTCTCACCAAGGTTTTCGCCGCAGAAGGAACGGGATTATGGGATTCGGAGATCGGGCTCTGATGCTTCTTCAGTTTCGTCGAGGCGATCCTCACATCGACAGTCAAATATGAGCAATTTGTCAAATACTACGCATTCCCGACAAGGAAGTGAGGTGTCGACGAGTTGGCTGAACACAATCGATGAATCCGGGGGATCGGTATCCGGAGAGTCATCGCCAGGCTGGACGAGGAAAAAGCCACGGCGGCAGAGTGAAAGGGAGATACGTTTGGAAAGAGAGAGACAGATGCGGGAGTTTGTGGATGATTTTGATGCACAAATGGATGCTGCTGTGGAGGCGGCCTACGACGATCCTTACGAAGTGGACTACACATACGACCACCCAACCTACGATCGGGATGAGGAAATGTTAATGATGAAAAGCCCACGTTTAAATGTGGAACGTGCAAAGCAACGGGTGCGAGAGGTTGAGCGGGAAATGGAATTGGAGATAGCCAGGGAGAAGGAGCGGAAGCTGGAAAGAGAGCGATTGGGGTTGGTTGAGCGACGGCGTCACTCGGAATTAGATTTCTTTGACGATGGAGATGACGACGATGATGACTCAGAGGATGAGCGCATGTTGGAGGAAATGACAAGAGGGTACACCCTGGATGATTTTGAATTCAATTTGGACTCAAAAACAGCGTTACCTAGAGAATCAGGAGCCTCATATTCCGATTCGACTCTTCCTGTGCGAGAATCGGGAAGCAGTGGATATTCAGGAACGACATGGGCTAGTTCTATTGGGTCTGCGCATATGCTTAATGTTCCTACGCCATTATCTACAGTTGATGAGGCGCCTTCTACGCCACCGCCATTTCAATCACCACCGTCTATACTACCACATCAAAGTCCGTCTCCGAAATATAGACCTCCTGCATCTGTACATACGGAACATCTTCCATTGGCTCCCGCTCCCCTTTCATTCTCATCTTCCAAAAGAGAAATAACGGAACCAGTCCCAAACCTTCCAATCCCTAACATTGCTTCAATCCCTAGTTTATCTGTTTCAAAGTCTTCTAGCGTTAGGTCCCGCCGGCTCTCCGCATTATCAGAACCTCTGAAGATCGAGACATCACCGTCCGGAAACGGCTCCTCAATTTATGGTGTTGTTCCTACAACTATAGTCCGCGGACCTTCTCCATCTGTACCAAATGTGGATTCAGAGCTTTCTACGGATTACTCTTCATTACCACCCCCGCTCACTCCACCTTTAAATATCCCCCCTAAAACCGCAGGTGCAGCTATTCCCTCACGGCCGAGTACTTCTTCTGAACTGAGGGATGGACCAATACCGACACCACCAGCAACAACAGCCGGAAACTATACTGGAAGAAACCTTCACTCTCCTACTCCGTCAAGCTTGGAGCCTCCTGGTGGGATCATCTCTGGAATCATCTCCGCAGTTACTATGAATAAAACAGTTTCTGACGACGAAGGTTCAGCTTCTCCATCCAGGTTTACGGCAAGGATCCCTGGCCTCCCAGGTGCACTTAGGCAAATCCAATCATCCGCGAGCTTGAAGAGTCGTACTTTAGCATCTCCAGATCAGGAATCCTCACCCGTAAACTCCAGCAGTGGATTATTTTCGTCTAGTAGCACCTCAAATTTGCGGAAGGCGTTTCCCAGGAGTGCTACACCAGCTACCCCAAGCATTGTCCCAGGGACGCCAATGGGGCTTCCGCCCACCGCTGGACTCCAGGCTGGAGGAATGCATCTGTTTGAAAACAAACTTCATTCGCCTGCTACTCCGAGTAGCGCAGATCACTTGGCGGCCGGTCAGCCCGTCCCGCTTGAACCATGTCCAGGGGAGGCTTTAAGTAAACCATATTGGTTGATGAGGTGTCTCTACCAAACTGTGGTGCACCCAAGGGGCGGGTATATTTCTGCGAGAGTATTTGTGCCACGTGAAGTCTGGTTCATCAAAGGCGTCAAGATCAAGGCCATCGACGACAAGATTTCTTGTTGTGACCTTGTCAGCGCTGCATTGGGAAAACTTGCAACTGTAAACCAGGACAATGTTAACGCCATCTATGAAGAGATGCAATCCCTTGAAGGTGTTCTTGACCGTGTTCAGGCTGTTCTCTCAAAAAAGCTCGGTAATGATGTTGGGTCATCTGGTGCACGTGCCATGTATGGCACCGATGGGTCTATTCCAGAGAACGGAAATTCAGACATGATAACCAAAAGCACTGGTGTCAGTGGTGGGAAGAGCTACTTTTCGTTGAGAAAGCTGAGGACAAAGAACTCCAACACAGCTTTGAGTTCTTTTGGAAGTTCCAGCAATTTGGCGGGGGACTTCAATTATGCTGCAAAAGGGTTACCGAAGGCTGGGAACGATATAGCGACTCAGCCTGTAAGGAATTTGGATGGGGTGACATTTGGGGGACCTCATGCAGCTTATATTGGCGCTCTAGCGAAGCTTTTCGATGCTGCTCAGATATTGGGTATGTTACTTTTCTTTCAATGGGACATATAGTCCGTTTATGGGACACATCAACGTGATCCTTGCTTTAGGTGCATGATTTTTCTGACCGCGATGATAGACCGATTGAATGTTCTAGATGATGACAACAACTCTGGAAAGAAGATACCCATGACCGTTAAGGTCGGCCTGGAATTGAGTCACCGTCACGCCGCGGAATTTTTCGGTTTCTATATCTGCCGCTTCGTTCTCACCGATGTCACCTTATTGTTAGACAAGTTCGTGAAGCGCGGGACCGAATGGGTTTCTGCTCCCTAGGTTAGTTAATTGTTAGATTTTAAGGGGGGGTTTTCTTCGTTACTGGGCGGCTATCTTTGGTATCATATCTATGGCGTTTGTCTATTTTTATTATTCCCGTTGCGTTTCTTGAACATATTACTTGAGGTGGCGAAGGGTATGCGGGTTGGCCTGTATGATTTTTTGTTTATTTTTGAATCCTTTCTTTCCGTCCTAGCTTCCTTAACCATTGGGAAGCTGGTGTGAATATTTTACCACCTACTTTGCTTTTTTAACTCTTCATATTTCTTTTCTTCCCTTTACGTATTTCCTTCTCATTTAGAGCACCTTCTGTCATATGATGGCAAGGTGAAAGGGATGGGTGTTGTGGACTGCACATAACTACTTACACGGGTGGGGCAACTAGGATAGATGTGGATGATTGTGTCTTTGTTATTATTATTGCGGATTGTTCAGTTCATAAATGTTGGTGGGGTGTGGGTTACGGGATATTCCTTATTTATTTTTTTTATTTCTTTCTTCATGTGAATAGGATGGGGGTACGCGTCAGGGGATATCTTTTTTTTTTCTGCTTCATGGTTATGATGCTCCGAGGGTCTTTTCTATTCGCGTCTTTTTTTTCTCTCTCTCTCTCCAATAGTGGCTGAGTTAGACGTACTCATATGATTGCTACAAGACGGAACAGGGTGTCGGGGATAAATAATACTACTATCGATCAGGATGTATCGAGATAATTCCTCCCCGGTTTTTACCAAGTCTTACACTGAAGTTTCCGGTATTTGTACCAAGGCTGCATCAACGGCTTGATAAACGCACAAGGTGAAATCTGCCCTCGCTGGACCGTTCAATTCACGAACGAAAGATGCGATAACCTGGGACCTGGAACATCAATGCTCCCCACTTCCTTTTCTTTTCCCCACGGGGGGTTTTCATTTCTTTTCCTCAGTATGGTCTGTACATACCACATTCAGTAGTATATTCTAATCCTGTGAAGATTTTGTGATAATAAGACAAGGCAAGCTCCACGAGGAGAAGGGTAGAAAAAATAAAAGCAAAAAGCAAAGAATGCATGATATAAAACACGGCCATTCCTTTTGGCAGCACCACATTGGCATTGGTTGCACATAACGCGATGGATGGACGGTGATAGGCGTGACAGGTATCTTATGCACCATTGGATTTCCGGCGAACAGATTAGAGAGTTTGAAAGTCTGGGACCGCAATTGCAATTGAGCTATTCATGGGGTTTGTTGCACCCATGAGTGGACACATACACATACACATACACATACACATACACATACACATACATCACCATCATCATCACCTTCACCATCATCACCTTCACCAACATCACCATCATCTCTCTCGCTACCTCCCCCCCCCCCCCCCCCCCAGCCCTCGGATCTTGCGTTATGCACGGTAGGTAGTCAAACTAAAGAGGTGGGAGGGAGAGAAAAGGCACTGAAATAAGCAACATTGCATATGTGGAGGAAGATGGGGAGGATAGGTACCATCTACGAGGTTTTCCTCCTCCACCTTCTCGTGCCGCATACATGAAGGCTGAACCGTGTACATGATGTGGCCGGTGTCTCCACTAGGCGTGGCTGTGTAGAGTCTTCCAATTGAAGGGAGGGGGGTGTGTGGATATTGGAGGATCGATCTCTCCCTTACCTGACTTTCTGCCCCCCCCATTTATATGCACGCACGAACCTCGGAGACACCGCACCGCTACTCATGCACGCATAAGTTCCAATCCAACCGAGTAATCACCCAACACACAGGCAGCGGCAGCCAATGAGCCCCTGGCTTGCCTTCCCCGCACTTTGCTTTGGTGTTTCTTTCCCTCCTTCTGGGAGGGAAAAAACTGGTGCTGGTGCTGCTGGTGCTGGTGCTGGTGGGCAGGCCCGCCTACAGTACGTAGGGACGGTCCGTTTTACTAGATGCAGGATGCAGACGAAGAGAGAGAGTTGAGCGCTGATGTAAGGGGAATAAAAGAAGACTGTGCCAGATTGGGTCTTGTACGGAAACAAGAAGACTACAGATTAAAAACGGCAGTGAACAATTCTTATCCTATTTTCACATCTGATCGAGAGGCACGTACATGGATTGTTTTGCAACTCCGCGCCTCGCGGGCCTCAATGGTTGTTTTGCCGATAGCGAAGGGACCAAAGGCCAGATAGCTATCAATCGGAGTAAATAATAATAGGTACAAAAAGCAATAGAAACCAGAACATTGCCTTGTAGGATTTCGTTGTAGAGACCGCCAAATTTTTTGGATTCCAACACACTCCCCTGCCTAAAAACAGTTACTCACAAATAAATCAAATCCCAAACGCAAAAAACAAGGAACTAATAACTATGAGAAACACGAGGGAAAGGTATGATAAAATGATAAAAGATTTCCACCACTATAAAAGTTTTACCCCATCCATTCACAAACCAGAGAGGGAGAAAAGTCGTGACGGCCGTTACGATAAAAGCACAATCGTGAGAACATTCAAGGCGAAAAGACACATGGATGTAACGTGGAAACCAGACTAGCAACACACAGGTATAAGACAAAAGCATCCACAGAAGATAAAAAAATGAACAGATGGAAGCAGACTTAAGACCCCTAGAGAATATAGCTTAAGAATGATTCACAAAAAATAATGACCCAAAAGAAAATACGTCGAAGACATGTGTGGTTATTGTAAGAACAAAAAAGGATTCGCTGCGTCACTTCATATCTTTTTTTGCAAAGGAAAAGACAAAACAGAAAAGAACCCCAAACCAAAAGCCGACCCACGGATTATTCAACCCATCCCATCAATCCGGAAAAATCAAAAAAAAAAAAACTAAAATCAAAGACGAATGAATAGACTCTCAACTCCTGCATGCCAAATTTGATATATCCTTGCTGAATTTTGGGGGGGCAAGCTAAAAAAAAAAACAATAGTCTATAGATAAATCACCGCCTGTTCGCTGCCCGAGTTGGCTGTACTGCCGACCGTGTGCGGTTGAGGCGTCCATCGGCGTTCCTGTCGAATGCAGAGCCTGCGCCGCCAATGACAGGTGTGGAGCCTTCACGGATCGTCTTGCGTCTCTTCAAACCCCCCTCAGAATCCCCACCAGGTCTTTCGTCATGTCCCCGGCTTGAAGGGCGGGAACCATTCTCATCCTCATCTTCCATCCTCATACGCTTGTTGGATGAGGGGGTTGATGATCCATTCATCCCACTATAAGGTTGTTGGGGCGTCTGTGCAGGGATGGAAACACCTAGACCTTGACCCGGGTAACCACTATCAGGAGCACCAGCCCCATTTGATCCATTGTGCTGGTCAGCAGCAGCGTCACCGCTCACCAGTTGATAGAGATTCCTTTGGGGCGGTGCCTGGCGTCCACCGTTAGTGGCAGTTCTAGGTGGGGTTGAGTACCCGTGCGGATTTTGAACCCATTGCGATTGAGACGCTGTAGGGGCGGTGCGTGGAGTAGCGCCGGAACCACCATCGATTGTCCGGGGAACATTGCCGCTCGCAGTTCCATATGATCGAACCGGAGTTGACGGTGCCTGCCCACCATGGTTGGGTGATCCGTTAATCTCTGGGGAGAGATGAGGGGCATGATCAGCGTTTAGAGGAGGATAGTAACTGTTTCCGGAACGATGACCACCGGGGTAGTTGTTGGCATCGTGAGTGTATTCTTCCTCATGGTCAGCTTCATGTTCGGCCTCCTCTTCACCCTGGTTTTGGTCCTCATGTTCACCCTGTTCTAATCCATTTTGTTCCTCACCGCCTTCTTCCTTGGGGTGTACCTCCTCCGCGTTGTTCTGCCTCGACGACGGCCTGGAAAGTGATGCCGGTGGTCCACGAGCTGTAGGAGGTGGTCCCATGTTGCTAGCTTCCCGGTTCTGGTTCATGTATTGGGTTGGTTGGGGCAAGGGTTGTCCAAACCTCTGCATATTCTGCTGCGCAATAGGGTTGTTTTGTGGCATCCCTGAAGCATTTGAGTTATACGGGCCCGATTGTTGTAGTGGTGGATACGACTGTAGTTGCTGTATGGCACCGCCGGGAGGGGTTGTCGCCGGTGTGGTTGGCATAGAACGACTGTTCATAACAGTGTCAATTGCCAATGGCTGACTACCAGGTCCTCCTTGAACCATACTTCCCCCATTCCAAAATGAGCCATCGGGATTGACACCACCCATTACACTCGACGCACTCGATGGGGGTGTGGGGAATGACAGGCTCCGCTCAATACCCGGTCGGCTGTTGATCTGGTGAGGTCCTTGAGCCAGGTTATGGGGAGCGAGGTGGTGAGGCTGCTGCATACCGCCTTGCATAGCATGATGATGATGCAATGGAGGGGGGTGTGGTGAGGAGATGAGTTCCGAAGGGCCCCTTCTCTGTTGCTGCATCTGGTTCTGCAGGTTGTCTTGCTTGCGACGCTCGGCAGCAGCCACCACCGCGTGGGTTCGGTGAGTGTTTGCAGGGTGGTAGAGCAGAGCACCAATGTTATGCACAAAGAGAGGATACAACAATTCCGTGATCTTCTCTTTGTTGGCAAAATCCAACGCACGGTCAAATGGAATCCTACAGACATGGCAGGTTAGCTTTATTGAACCATATAGGTCTAATCGTAGATATAGGCAATCTACGATTAGATGCAACAACTACTCACCATACTCCCTTAAGGTGCATTGGCCCAATTTTTACTACATGGCGGACCTTCTCGCTTTTGAGGATTCCATCACGTCTTCCTCGGGTCATTCCAGCCACGTTCAGTAACTTTGTACCGTTTATCATATGGTTGTCTTTTATCGGTTCAAATAATCGTTAGCGGGAAAAACTTTAGATGAAGCGATGGTACGCGAAGTACAAACCTTCTCGCCTCGCCACGCATACACCCTTCGCCTCTACTTGGAAACATAAGCTGCCCTCGTCCTCCCACAGCGTTGCAGTAACCCTGGGTTTCATTCCAGGGGGTGCGTGCTGACCGGTGGTGTCAAAGGTTTGGTTACCAAAGCCACCAGCCGCTGTAGCAGATGCGGGTGTTTGAGGACCCCCCGCAGATACAGCAGTTAGTGGTGATGGGCTGGGTGTTAGCTGGGTGTTCTGTGGCAATGGCAACAACTGCTGTGTAGGGTGTACCATTGGCCCCGAAACACCGGGTTGCCCAGCAGGAGAGGAGACTCCATTGGAGGCAGGAAACTGGAATGGTGGGAAACCATTGTGGTGGGGTTGGTTGTAGTTCGGTTGAAGAACAGGCGGTTGAGGAGGGAAGTTCATGTTACTCCCAGATGTCGCGGTCTGCGGTGTAGGAGGCTGCCCCTGAGAAAGATGATGCTGATGAAAGTCAACACCGATATATGGTGGCTGGCTTTGCGACTGCATGTATCCCGAGTTATCGTTGCCGTACGGCGAGAACTGAGGGCCGTGAGAAGGGTACGATTGGGGGTGTTGCTGTTGTGGGGAATGGATATTGGGGTTCGGAAGAGCGTGTTGCTGAGGTGGCCCGTTGTTCCCGGGAGGTGTGTTCAGCTTGCTTAATGAAGAAGCGTTGGCAGAATTGGGACCAGTGTGGGAGCCGTTAAGAATAGATGTTCCCAAGGAGCGAGGGGAGTTATTTGACAAGTTTGTTACAGATTGCGGAATAGATAGAGCTGATGGAGGCTTATCGTTGGACATACTCGACTTATAGTGAGGATGATTGTTGAACCCGCCGCTGTTCCAAGCGAAGACGTCGAGAGGGGGAACTCTAGTCTGGACCGAGGAGAGGGAAGGTAGCTCCAGCTTGTTGGTTGGACCGGTGATTGCCTTTTGATGGCGGATTTTAGGGAATTCCGAGGAATATAAAACAGTAAAGACGAGGGCTCTGTGCTTATTTCAGCCAACAGATTCGATGTCTTTATTAACCGTTAAATAACGGTGTGGCTTCCACCAGAAAATTGGAGTAGCGGCTAATCCTTCCAGTGGATGCAGCAGAAGGTAATGGGATTCGTCCTGTAGCCGCGACGATGAGAAACTGTTGCTTGGATGCAGTGGGAATGCTCAACCAACCACAGAGATGCAGTACAAGTCGCTCGGTAAAGTGCAGATGGATGCAGAAACGAATCAATGGACGAGGCAAAAAAAATACCAGCCAAGAAAAAATGTCAAAGAGACTGAGAGGACAACTTTTTTGATACTGAAGAACACGAATGCGATCAAGACAATGCCTGTGTCCGGGGAATGAAGAAAGCTGAAATAGCCTGTATTATACAGTGCCGTATACTACAGTTCTAGGATAGGAATGCCAGAGGAAGCGTTTTGTCTCGTTGATGAGTTGGAATGCAATGCTTTGGACGGAAGAATATTCGTGGGAAAGATAACAACTTTTGGGGGAAACTTTTTGGCGTTTGCTTCGTTTCAAATTCGTAAATGCTGAATGACTATTTTGGGGGGGGGGGCGTGATTATTTTTACGTGTGTGATTTTTGTTTTGATTATTGAATGTCGTTGCAATTGCAGAATAGCGCCTCCTCGTAAGTTTCGTTCGTTCGTATTTCTCGTTGGTCGTAAGAGATGCACTGAGCCTTATCCTTTGCTCCAGCAGCAGTTTTTTTCCAACTGTGACTAGGAGTGTCTTGGATCGGGGGAGAGGCTTAAAATGAAATGTCGTGAAGCTCCAGTTGCGCCTTGCTGCAAGATCGGCCGGTCGTTAATGATGCAAAGGAAACGCAGGGCGTGTATGGTAGGCGCGAGGAGGAGAAGGGAAGAGGAATAAGGGAAGGGAGGGAAGGAATTGCGCGACGAACCGAGCAGGAGAGGTTGAGCGAGGGGAGGGGGTGGGAGAGGATGTAGGGTAGGGTAGGGGGTGGGTGTGTGGAGGAGGAGAGAATGATGGGGGGAAGTGGTTCTTCGAGGAGAGGCTGGGGAAAGCTCGAGAGAGTGAATGAAGAGAGTCGAGAAGAGGAAGAGCAAATGTAGAATTTACGATGCGGGTCGGGGCGACTTGCAGGGAAGTAGCGCAAGCAGCAAGCAATGATGGTACGTCCAAGTGGAGGTCTTTTTTTTTTTTTTTTTTGCTTGCCCTCACGCAGCACAGTTGATGGGATGGAGGTGGTGCGAAGAGGAAAAGGAGGAGGCAGGTATGTATGTACGTACACTGGCTTTCTGTCTTCTTTTTTTTCTACAATGATTTCTCTTTCGCTGCCTCCGTCGTCTCGTCTGGTATAGAGAGGCTGGATTGGAGGCTGGGCGGTCGAACAGGGGTTACGGCGAGAGGTGTCAAACCGTTCAGACTCTGGCGAGGGACTTTCGACTTGGACTTGCCGGGGGAAGAGAAAGGGAACGGATATGGGTGTGTGAGGGGGTTGGGACGGCGCAATCGAGTGAGTGAAGAGAGCTTTCGCCGTCAACGGGACAGTTAGTCCAACTTGCTCACTCAGTGCTCTCCCATTGGTCAATCCAAGGAACTAAAGTGGGTACTTACCAGTTTGATGGAATTCCTGGTTGCTTTCTCAATCACTCTCTATATCTCGTTTTTTTTGGGGCAGAGACCTCTAAGTATGTAGCCTTTTCGTAACTACTTTCTCTCGTTATTCTCCCTTCTTACCTCGATCTCTTGCTTTTCACCTCCTTTCCTTCTTTCCCGTCTCTCCTTGGCCAAGGAAGGGGCAAGCAATTAACACACAAATGATAATCGTAATAATAATAATGAACCCCTTCGGAAGAAGGAAAAAGGAAAGAAGGAAAAAAATAAGGGCAATCAATTCAGCGAGAATGTCGGTGGTTCCTTTCCCAGGCCAGCACAGCGCAGCCAGTCCCAGATACCCCTCCTCGTGAGTGGTCCTGCGGAGAGCGAGGGCCACCCTCCAGTCTGAACGAACCAGGCGGAGGAAAGGGTTGACTGGGAGGCTGCTGGGGTCTCCTGCTATTGGCTGGCTCGGCACCCGCAACAAAAAAGGGTGCAGGGGTTCGAGTGAGAATTGGCGCAGAAGGGGACTGCAGGCGCGACAGCTACAACGCATCTGGTTAGCCTGACGGATCTTGGATTTGATGCAGGGTTAGGGTATAAAGTTGGTAGCGTGACGAATTTGGTTAGAGCCTTAGACCGGTGGAGTGTGCGTTGGCAAGGAGGAACCATGTATAAAAATGGAAGCACTGTTACTCCGCTCATTGGCGGTGGTTTTTTTTTTTTTTTTTTGGAAAGGATCATAGTTGAGAGCGTGGGGATAGGAAGGAGCCACGGCCCAAGGAAAAACTTATGAACGTGGGGAAAATGAAGGTTCCATTGCCAACATGGAGTAGGAGTTTTGAAAGATCAAAGATAGCAGGTGTAACTATTACTTACTCTTACCAGTATTAGATCTAGAATAAGCTAGAATGAGCAGGAGATGGCCGGTAAGGAACAAATGCGCCGGGAAAAATGAAATAAAGAATCAAAGTCGAGAAATATGAAATGGTTGGTCTCTTCTGTAGCTCTACTTCCTGTATTGGTATTTCACCAAATCAAAGACACGACGACACGCGACAGACGGAAGGGATAAGTCTGATTTTAGTTCAGAGGTCTATCGCGTGGTTCTTGCCGATTCGCAGTCTGTGTGGGCCTTTGGCGCACCCCTGGCTGCTGCGATGTGAATTGACGTGACCAGAAAATCGATCTGTCCTACAAGCGAATTGCTTGCTTCAGCGTGAGACACGAGACTTACGACTGGAGTGATCGGATAATAATGGAGGCGTCAATGATTGGGTATACCGGATAGGATTTGGTCGGCGGATAACGACAGAGCCAACGGCAGATGATGCAAGATTAAGATAGATATCGAGGGCGGTCACGGTTGGTAAGCGTTCCGGACTATGCTGCCCTTCCGGTAATGTTGCTTCCTATTGATGCTACCTGACTTGATGATGATGATGATGGTGGTGGAGGTGAAGAGCTGGCTGGCATGTAAATCAGTAAGAGGTATTTCTTTTGGTAGAAGCAGAAGCCATTCGTTGCTGTGAGAGAGAGCTGTTCTAGAGTATGGAATTGCCATCTAGCGCGATGGATGTACCAGTATCGAAGTCTCCCATCTCTGAGTCTGCAAGCAACATCATGCTCTCCATCCAGCCTGAGTATGATGGAATAAGAAGGGATCACACACACTCACTTACGGAAAAAGTAAATCGGGGACGCGCCGGCAAAAAGCAAGGAGCTTGGGTAAGAATGATGTTGGGGGCTTGGTTGAGGGGGATGTCAGAGAGAGCCACTGTGCTCCTCTCGCTACTGCCGATGGAGCTTGTGTTGCGTATGTGATAGGCACAACCACAACCGCAAATGGAGAGGTAGAGAGACAGCTAGGATGGAGCTGTTGCGAGAAAGAGCTCAGCACTCTAAGCAGATATGTAGTCTGTGATGATTCTACGCAGTGGCTAGTGAGTGATATGTAGGAGGAACAAAAGGATGACGGGCAGAAGAATGCTGCGATCTCTCAGTGCTGCTTCCTCATGTGCAACTCGTGGCTTTCGTGTTACATCTACGGATAGAGGCTGGTAGGCATATTTAACCCTCTATGTACTCTTTGAGGATCATCAAAGATTCAAAAACAAAACTGCCTCTCTTCTTGTTCTCTTTCCCGGTAGAGATTTCTCTTCATCTTCTTCTTTGATTATCATTCTTCTCGGAAAACTAGCTAAGAGCTCGAGCTGAAGAAAAAAAGAAAAAAGGAAGAAAAACCTCATCACACTAGAGAGACTGTCCACTAAGAAAGTCACATTTTCTCGTGCACTTGTAACAATCAAAGAAGAGAGACGAAACACGATCCACGCGGGACTCCAACAAACGCACGCGGATGTACTATTTTATGCCAAACGGACGCATACTCGCGTAGCTCTCCCGGATTCTCAACCCACATCTCCTCCTCCCCCATTTGGTCAATCGGAAACTTGAACAAAGGCCTTGCTTCCGCTCCCCGTCACGTTGCACTCGTCCTGCCGATGTGCCTTGCCTGACTAGGTACGGAACGGATTATCACATCCTCCTTGGTTATTTCCCGTCCATTCTACTCTGTCGGCGGCCTTGCGCAGTGTGTGTGTTCTTCTATCTACACCCTTTATTCCGTTCCCGAGGACGACTGCAAGAGAAGCATGTAAGCCCTTCTCCGTACCTTCTTTATTGTCTCTCGTCAAAGCACTCTGCAACATGTACTGCAACCTTGTTTACTCTGTAAGCCGAAAATCTCCGGCGGCCGATTTTACATTTAGTTCCCGCCACTAAGCACAGATTCACTGCAGGACGAGATATTATTGGAATGTGTGAGTTATGTTACATGTAGGAGCTATGTGTAAGTACTGTAGGTGTATGTGTATGTGCCAGTCACACGTGACAGTGACTGATGGGGCGAGTGATGCATCATGATTGCAACCGGTAACCTTTGAGAAAACGGGCCAGTATCACTTGCAGTTATATTTCAAGAAGATGACTACCAATATCCTTCCGTTTTTGAAGGCGGGTTATCACCAACACTGCAGATAGATTCCACCACATTTATTATTATTGATCCATTGCTATTTCCCTGCCGCCCCCGCGGACAACGGCGGCGAGCTGCGAGAATTGCGCTCCCTACGAAGTTGGTATAATACTCTTCTACATTTAGGACTGCAGCGGACGTTGTTGCGAGGAACATCACACACACACACCATACACACATCTATGGCATAGATACACACGCCCAGTACGACTTGTTAAGAGTAGATCCTTATTGGCGATTGGCGTAACGCTCTAAGCTGGGGTATTCTATCCGTTCCCGATGCTAGATGCGCTTGGACTCCTGAAATCTTTTTTCCGGCTCGTTTCAATTTTTTTCATCTTTTCCATAATCTGTTTTTTGTCTTTCCGCCTTCCACTTCCCCGCGTTGAGCCGTTTCTGGTCTAAAATGGTGCTTTCTCTATCATTATTTCTCTCTCGGCGCGGCTCAAGAAAAAACGCGTGACAGAAGACATGCAACCTCCCGCTGTGTTCCACAATCCTTGGAGCTAGACAAGGAAAATCCATCAATTGATGTGACTTGGTAGCCTTGCAATCAATTCTTTTTCCCTTTGATTTATCTATAAAATTATACTTTTTTTACTCTCATGATATGTGTGCAGAGTGCTCTATATGTATGTACATATTGCAAGGTTGGATCCCTTTTCGATGCCGTATCTACATGCTAAGAGTGTGTAACGACCATCGCTGTGCCCTTGGCTGTGTGCCCGGAAGAACACTCGTCTGGCGCACAATTAATCCGTTTGCACAACATCAACCACAACCTGGAGGGAAAAACCAGACAACCGCAACCACAACCACAACCAAGAACACTTTCTCTCCCCACACATACTCGATCTCACGCTTTCCACTTAGCCAAAAAAATCGCTGCCCCAAGAAATGGGTGTATCCTGCGGAATCTATTGGTGTCGACTGGATACACGTATTATGCACGGTCCCTGCAGGCAGCGGGGCTGCAGTTTGCATCACGCAAGCCCGCTGTGCGTAAAGCCACTTGCATATGTGTATGCATGCATTCACGCTGATCTCGACGTCTGGGCTACCTAAGGAGCTGCAAGGTTGCGGGAAGCCACTGGAGTTCCGGTGGGTGCGACCCTACCTTCGACGGGACCGGGGTAACACCACCATCATGGATTTGTATTTTTTTTTTATTTTTAAGAGATTACCAAGTTTTGAGATAAACCAGTGTAAGTAACTCCAAGGGCCAGGTCATATATGTGCAGCGTGTAACGACGGACGAGAATAGCCCTGACCCTTGCATTGCGGTATGGTGGAGGGGGGTAGGGAATGTATTTTCGTACTGAGATTCGAATGCACGATCATCATATCATAGCCTGGAAGGACTAGGAACGAATATGTACAAGTATGAAACATATCAATTTTGCCATTCCTTGGATCCGAGGCAATAACCGATAACTTTGATAAGAACGGTACGGAGAGGGAACCGCCGTCGTTAAACGGTATGTACCACCACTAATAACACTACGTGACTTACGCTAGAGTACTACTTACACTACTACAAAGGGATATAGATTTGATAATTGAGTAACCGGGAGAATGCTCGCGACGGGATAACCATGATGGGGGTGTAATATTGAATTGAAGTGACTGACGACGTTAGTGAGGAGCCTGTCCTGCCTACTTTCGACGATTCTTTTCTCTCTCGGCTGTAACACGAACGGCGATAAGCTGCCTAAGTCGATTAGTACGCACGGCTCGATCGTGACAGAGAGCCCGCGGTGGCCTACTGGGGAAGGGAAGTAAAAGCTGGAAAAATAAAAAAAAGAAGGGAGAAGAGAAAGAAAACTTCCCCAGGCTTTCTTCCCCAATATTCAGACAGAAGCACCATCCATCTATCATCGCCGCTCGCTGACCGAAAATCCCAATCCCTGTATTTTGTGTGGTCCAAGGGAAATCAGATCGAGATAGCCAAAATTGTACAGCTGGTAATTGGGGGCCACCAAACCATGAGAGGTAAAAAAAAAAAAAAAAAAAAAGAGAGAGAGAGCACACACTTCCCTATCTCGCTTAGAACCCCATGATATATTGCCCCATTTGGAGCATTCGTAGAGAAGAACGTTGACAAAACCACAAAGTCTGCCAGCGCATCGATTTTTATGGCCTGCCCACCCTCTCAACAAAAAAATGACGAGGATCAACTGCCATACGGTGATCTGAGAGGGTTTATCGGCCAATCAGTGGCAAAAGGTCAAGATCCTGAAACAAGCCCTGCTCTCCACCCCCCAGGCTTCCGTTCCGCTGGTGGTGCTGGTAAGTCGTCCATCTATCTGGGTTTGGCCGAGCTCCCGGCAGGATATGAATTACGGTAACGCTCTCACCGCACCGCCCATTGGCTCTCCACGAAGCCCTCGTTTGCTGAAGCGAACAATGTGGTGTCTTTGCCACGCGAAAATCCGCAATGGTGGTCATCAAGAAATCTTGCTGTAGAAGGCGAGTGAAAATCGATGAGGTGACTTCTTAAACGGTCTCGCCAAAACCACACACCCACCCCCGGTCGCTGCTGTCTAGAACTCATCCTGAACGCCATCGAAGAGAAATTGGATCTTCTCCATGTCCGCCGGATCTAGAAGTACAGGTCTAGGCCTTCTTACCGAAAACCCGAATTCAATTGCTATCATCTCTCATATTCTCAGTCTAAGTAACGATGTGCCGTACTGTTTTTTCTTTCTGTTTTTTGTTTTTTGATCTAGGACCTCTGGCGACCAGTTTATTCTGTACTCTAGATACCGTATTTCATAAATAATTCCATTCAATATATTCCCCCTTACAGAAGCTCAGGTGCACCAAACAGTTAAACAGTAACAAATCCTACATCATACTGTACCTAGACGGGAACCTGCACTATGTGTCATTTCCCTCCCCCAGGTGTAGTCTTTTTTCATAACGACGGATTGAACGTGTCCTGTCCTATCCAGCGCGCGCGTGTACCGAAGGGCAGATGATCAGATCCCGCCCACCTTTCTTCTTCTTCCACTTCTTCCTTCTTCCTCTTCTTCTTTTCTTTCCTCGCAACCCAGCCCAATAACGTCGTCCTATTTCCTTCCCAATCCAATGCGCTAAACACGTCTCTTGCCTCTTCCAAAATGCCATTCCTGGCTACCTAGCCCTCTACAAACTACTCCATGGAGTTCTCCGCCTTCCCCCCTACTCCCCAAACAAATTAGAGTAGAGTAAGATAACAGCTGGTCCCGGGCCAGTGAGGGGAGAGGAAGGAGCGGAGTGGGAAGAGGAAGGGGGGTGAAAAAACAGGTTTCACATTATTTTTTTGTCTGGTATCTGGTTCTGGTATATCTGGTTTGGATGGGATGGGCCAACGGCTGCGGGGCCAATCATACACCGCCACGAAGGTTGGCGATGGGCGAGCGCCCCCACAAGAGACCAGAGAGAGGTTCGCATAAATGCCCGGTGATAATTATAATTAATATCGGTAACTAACCAATTTTTTTGATTGTTTCCCCCCCCTCTTGCTGTCACGTTTGTGGTAGGTTGAGTACCGAGAGGTACTCACTCGAAGGTGAGGCGGACCGGCCGATCTGGGCCGAAGGA